TCAATCATTTTGGAACCCGACAGAGGTTCCGTGGTCAGTGAGGGGAAAGAAATGTATTCGTTCTTTTGTATATTTTTTTTTAAACTCAACTTTCTAATAAAACGTGCAGCTTATATCATGGAACTAGATTATTTTTAATCTGACACGATTTGCACAGTCGTTATTACATTTTAGATTTTGCAAAAGAAAACTACAAAATCCTGTACAATAACCCGACCAACTACAATTTTAATAAAATGGAAAAATATTTGTAGATTTTGTATTAAGCCAAAAGAAAAATCTGTGATTAAACATTTGTAATTTATTTTTACATTAGAAGTGAAAATTTTCGAGGTTGACACATGGACATTTCCTGTCGGACTAAAGCCTGGCATGTTGAGAAAGGTTGTTCTATGTCTTGTTGGAAGGGTGTCATTCTTTGGCTCCATATAGAGAGCGCGTAGGAGTGCCACCGGATATGAGAATTGTGTTTGAGCTGGGTAGCAAGTATTGGGTCCCCTGTTCCGATCATTGGATGAAACAAGGTTGTTTTATTTATATATTACTGATAGACTTATATCCCCTAGTTTGTTTGAGAGTGAATGTATTCATCGGCAGAATTGTGTATTGAGAGAGTGCCGATGGCCTAACATTGAGTACCCCATTTACCCTCAATCTGAGATTAGTTATATAATAGGTGTGTTGATGGAGGTGAGTTCAGTATTCTACTACCATAACTGGGTGATAGGCTTGTGAATAAGAAAGAATGTATTTAAGAGTGAGTGAGAGTGTGAATGGGTTTGTATTTAGGAAATGATTGCGTTGGGAGCTGAATTGACCTAGCTGTTGATAGCCCCTGGAGCCCAACATCGACGACTGGACGGATAAGACGATGTCTGATATCAGACTGCCAACACCTGGGATGAGTGATTCTTTACGCCTGCCAGTAATTTATTATAAATTTCGAAAACTGGAATTGCGAGAACTGATAGGCTGAATGTATGTGTGTGCACGTGTGCCGATTTGAGCTTATATAAATCAGTAATCAGAAATAAAACTACTTTGTTGGAACAATATTTGTCCGGTTTTTACTAGGCCAAAATAAAGGGATATAGAGGTGATTAAATTTTTAAAATTTAGAATTGATTTTTAGATTTGAAATGAAAATTTCATACACAATTATCAAATCTCGTCTGACTAAAAATACGGCCAGACTTTAGGACCAAGTTTACAATGATTTATTTTCATTTTTAACTCATTTTTACCTTGAGTTTTTTATGGTGCTTATCGTCTGTGGAAGCGAAGAGTGATAAACATTTAAAAATTTGAAATTATATAATGATAATCTTCAGTACTTAAAAGAATGCTACAACCTCTTGTTTTTTATTTATCGGTTTATTGATACTGACATATACTGATTATAAAAGTAAAAATCATGACAAAAATGCAAATATTCGTGTTGAACTTTTGATAGCCTAACAGCACGTCCTCTGACGAAGGTTGAAAATCAATATTCTACAAGAGGAAACTGCATCATCATGACAAGGAGGTTGACATGTAAAAAAGAAGAAGAAAACTCGTTAATTAATTATCAGCGTCAAAAATTCCAATGGAATGTTATCGCACTTTGTAGATTTATATTTTTTGTAGAGGAGTTGAAGAGGTTCATGTTTTATTAAATTCTTGAGATTCCTCATAAATTATAAGTATCAGTAGATATAAAATAGATCGTAATCTTTTGGTTTATTATGGATATTCAAATATTTTCAGATATATTGGAAGAAAGATGTTTTTTCTTCAGTACAGAATAAAACGTTTCTTCTTGAATGAAAAATTGTCGGAAAAGATGTCGCATTTCCGAGACAATTAACTGGTAATCAAAAAAGAAAAAGAAGAATAATCATTTTTAGATTATCAGCGAAAGAAGTCCCAATTGGAACGTTATCTCATTTGGAAGATAATATGAAAGGTTTTAAAAAATCCGTAAACCTCTCGTATCGTGTTTTATCGGCTGCTTCCGCATGCACGAGAGTTTTATCTCATGGGCTCTATTAGCCATATGGTCAAAGATGACGCCGGCTACTAGCCGTGAGTGGATAATAGAAAAAAAATTGCCCACCGATAAGATTAGCTCAGCCTAACTATGTGTGAACGAGGGTATAAAAACTGACTGAAAACACGTCTATAAAGCTTTCAAAATAGTCTTTCAACTGAATCACGAGATAGTCGGAAGTGTCATCTTTTCTCAATGGTTCTACCATTACCCAATAAAAAGGGGCACAAGAAGGCCTTGCATTATTTTTCCACTTCTCGGATAAAAATAGTCCAAACCTTGAACTGGAATAGTTTTTCCTCCATTAAAAATGTCGAAACGCTTCACTCGATTCTCACTTTCGAGAGTTCCAAACGCACAGTTCCACCACATATTAGTTACTACCTCTCTACTCTATGTGATGAAGAATAGTAATAAAATGTGATTGTCTAATTACACAACAAAAATAAATGCACAATAAAATTGTTCTCTCTCTCTCTCTCTCTCTCTCTCTCACCCTCTCTCCCTCGCTCACTTTGTCTGTCGCACGCACTCTCTGTCTGTCTCTTATTCACTCATTCACTCTTTCTATTTATCTATCAGTATCTCATTCTATCTATCCATCTATCTGGCCTCCCTCTCTTCCACTCACTCACTCTTTCTCTCTCTCTCTCTCAATCTCTCTCTCTCTCTCTCGCTCTCTCTCTCTCTCTCTCTCTCTCTCTCTCTCTCAATCTTAATCTTTCTCACTCCTTTCAATCACTCTCTTTCCCTCTTCCTCTCTCTCTTATTACTCATTCACTCTCTTTATTTTTCTATATATAATTATCTCATTCTTCATCTATATATCTATCCATTTATCTGGCCTCCCTCCCGCCACTCAATCTCTCTTTCTCTCTCTCAATTCTTTCTCACTCCTTTCAATCTCTCTCTCCCTCTCACCCTCACCATCTCTCCCGTAAATTCAACCGTTGATTATATGAGAGGACCTAAACAGCTAAATTGTTGAAATAAAACGATGTTAATTCTTTCATTCTATCCTTCCACATCTTCTCATCAGAAAAAAGCAAAAATAATGTATTTACTACAAATTAAAAATAATAATGTTATATCAAATCGTACAAAAGTAGTAAACACGTAAATGTATATGAAAGTTTAAAGTGTAGATGACGGTGAAAAAAAATTAAAATCATCAATCGCTCGGTTTAATTGATCATACACGTACGAACAGTGTGAACAAAGTACTTGTTTGTTAGAAAAGAGAAAATAATACATTTTTGGAGTTTTTTTTAAGTTATTACTTGATGACGGATTAAAAAAAAAATTATCCCTCATTCTTTTTTCTTTCCTAGATTGATTTTAAATTTTATGTAAATTGTGTACAAAATGTCAATTAATAGCTGTCCATTCTAAAAAATCTTTTAAAGGTACACACATAAATTATAAATACTCAAAATAATACATTTCCAGTTAAATTTTTTTATAATTTATTACTTTAAAAATTCTTTAAGGCGGATTTTAAAGAAAATTTCTCTTATTTTCAATTCCCACTTTCGTTGATTAATTAAAAAATATGTGAACGTTTATGCTCTTCAAATATATGTAATAATAAATAAATATATGTTTTCATTTACAATAATGAAAACTGATCGTTTAGTATACAGTACAGGTATTTATGTAAATTTAACCTGTATGTTCATACAACATGTTCATATAGGTACATTAAAACATATATGTATCATTGAATTCTACTATTTTTTTTGTTAATTAGTTATACTTCATTATCAATAATGTGATACTATTCCTCCTATACCTTCTGAGAAATATATTCCCGATTTTTGGACAAAAACGTGTTTTTTCACATGCTCGTGGAAAAAATCGATCACTCTCTCCCCCGATTTTACCACAGATAAACCTATCGTTTCAATACTTTATTCGAAGCCAAACTGCCATACAACATGTGTGAAATGGGAAGGAAAAGTTGAATCTCCGTGATGAGGTAAACAAGTGGTTATCGACCGCAGAAACGCATCCCAAAAGGTCAAAGTAAGAAAAAGGAAGAAATGTCGCTTCCCTGGTCAATTTTTTGAAAAAGTCCTTGGAAAAAAAGTTGTAGAGCGTAAAATTTACGAAAACTTTACGGTTCAACATTTATGCGTACTTGAAAATCGGGAAATGAAATTTTCCTTAAAAGACTAATTGCCATATTCGAATTTGAAAACTTAATTCCTTACTATCAATTTGCATTCTGACCCATCCATTCTACTGTTTAGCATCGCTTCAGAGTAGTCGCCACGATATCGTCGGTTCTAGAAAACGTACAGTAGTGTTCAGTCGTACTTCTGGAATTGACGGAAGCATTTGACCGAGTGTGGCATCCCGGCCTCCTTCATAAGCCAAATGAGACCTAGCGCATGTCGGTGAATTAAAAAGCTGAGAAAATATGCATTTCCAAAATTTGTTATTTTTTCGTGCGAAAACAAGGTGGTCGGGGTTTTTGATGGGCAATGTATAATGCAGGAAAAACACGGGTCAGTCATTGGTACGTCTGGTTGTTGAAAAGATTTGTCGTCATTTGCGCAATTTATCTTGATTTATTTAATCTGTCTCTTTGTATATGTATATACACAGTTTCTTATAAGAAACGCGTAGATAACCAGATGGAAGCGTTATTAACCTTATTAACTTCCTGTACATACGAATCTCTCACAGAGTTCTTTTCGCTTATGTTAGGTGGGTTAGGTGGTGTGGGTGGAGAATCTGTGTTCTTCGTAGTTGTCACAAGATGTAATCGTGTATTACAATTTTTATTTAAAAACACTTATTTTTCGGAATTGTCCCATTCGTCTTAGTTGACGAGAAACTGTCTTAAGACGGTGTCAGGTTCAACACCCATAATTACATTAAAAAAATTAAATTTGATGTTTATAAGTTAATTTAAATACAAACTACAAAAAAGTTATAATAAAATATGTTATTTTATTTACAGCCCGAACGTCTGCGGCCCAAGAAACGGGAGGACGTTTTGCTGTCCAGGTTGGCAGATAAAAATCAACACCGGCCTCTGCATAGTGCGTAAGTGGCAAAAATAAATAAATATTTTTTAAGCCAGTTTATAAAATTAACGAACTGCAATTTTCAGCACAATGCGGTAGAAAATGTGGCAGGGGGCGGTGCGTCAAACCGAATCGGTGCATGTGCGAGAACGGCCATCTGGCTCCGTCTTGCCTTCCATTCGGCCCGCACAACGGTAATTGACGATTTTTTTTTCTCACCGAGAACGGAAGTTCTTGAGATAGTTCGGCACATGTTGTGATAACGGCCGATTCACGTTTTACAGACACGGCAACGGAGCCGAGGAGGCCATCGGCCGAGATCAGGCCCAGGCAGGAGAACTGCAGATACCCGTGCATGAACGGAGGCAAATGCGTCGGCACACGGTGTTCGTGCAAACACGGATACGAGGGCGATTGGTGCGAGCAAGGTTCGTTATTTGAATAAAACCCTTTAGAGCACTCTTAATGGAACTGTAAGAATTGTGGATTGTTAATTTGTCGTTGATCTTGATAGGATCGTTGTGTACTATTAGGCAGACAATGGCTTGCCGGATGCTAACAAACACACCTTCGGCGTTTCACAATGATAACTGCATTGTAAATTTATCTCTATGGCGTAACCGTGAAGCGACTGGGTTTGTGTTTACAAAAACTAAATCTCGACGGCTTTTCTTATCGCGAGACGTGTTTATAACCAACCAGGTTAATCCAAATGACTTCAGATATTCGCCTTAAATAAAACACATCCCTGGCGCAGAAAAAAAGCCCATTACGTATTTAATATTATTTCCCACTAATTAAATGTCATTTTCAGGTAAAATTATAATTTTAGTAGAAAAACTAATTAGCCATTTCGTGACCTCGTTTTGTGCGTTTTTCTGACATAGAGACAGCAACGCAAATAATTTCATAGATACTGAACTAAACAGTAAAAAGAAATCCATATTTGTATTTAATAGTCATAATTGACGATTTATTATTATAATTAATTGTACATTTTATCTAAGGTCTTGGTTGAGATGAAAAAGCTAGTGTTACAAGCGGGATTCGAACCCACGATCTTCACCTCAATTCGCCTCTGCTTTCGGACTCAGGCGAAGTTCGTGGGTTTGAATCCCGGTCGTGACACTAGCTTTTTTATCTCAACCAAGACCTTAGATAAAAGTATAATCAACTCAAATTTAACTGAAACGAATCAGTTTAACCAGATTCATGAATGGAAAACTCTCAACTTATTATATGTTAAGTTCATGTTTGAGTATGATTTTAGTCAGGTTGAAACCAATTGGGACAATTTATAGCAATGTTTTGTTCCTATAATTTTCTCAATACTTAAACAAACAGTCTCTTGCTAATGTGTTCACTATGTTAAAGCATCGAAAATTTTAAACATTATGTATGTTTTCATGTTTGATATCATGTTCAATTTTGGCGTTGGTCATGTTTTATTTGTCTTCCATTTTTTTTTAAAGTGGCGAAAAGCCTAAGCACCGCGAGCATAGGCAAAGAAAAATGAACAGGAACGACCAAATGGTAAAAATACTCTTTATTAGCTGTGCTTTGGATAAATAAGAAACTTTAATGAATATAATCCATACACGTTTATACATCAAAACTTTCCCCAAAGAATACGTATCTACACGTTTTCACGTTTAATTTTTATTAAAATTTTATGAAAAATATTTGGCCAATATACGATCAAGTTATTCGTTTTTTTCATTTTCTAGAGGATAAAACGTAGCTCAATAAAATACAAATAATCTTTTATTGGCGATTTCTCTGTGGTCTGCGGGGTGATGAACCTACTTTTTGGTAGTTACCGACATGAAGACAATTTGAAAAAGTGACTTGATCATAAACATAAAACCAGACCTAACACTGAATATGACAAAATGCCGAAACTCGTTTGAAAGATCAACCAAAAAAGCATAGACATGCCAAAAGATTAATTACAATCAAATTATAAAAATAATATTTTACTTACTGTACTTGCGCTAAAGAAAAAATTCAACTTCTATGAATAAAATACGTACTTAAATAATAATATAAATAAAAAGCCTCACAAGCCCAATCATGATCAAACCATGACCAAAACGAAATATCATATTATATATATGCTATTATGCTACTAATTATATGTATATGTATATATATATATATATATATATATATATATATATATATATATATATATATATATATATATATATATATATATATATATATATATATATATATATCGTTAGCATTTATTCTTATCTAGTTAGCAAAATTAAATTTTTGGTGCAGTATTGCATTTTTTTGCAGCAATTTTTAATTCTTACCCTCCAGAACCCGGGATACATTTCATTAGTTTTTTTTAGCATGTATAAAGTATCTTTTGTTTAGACAATTGTTAATAGGACAATGATATACACTGACGTTTGTTAAGACTGTCACTTCTTGTACATGTAAATTTTAATTTTATTTATGTTTCAGCAATTTGCAAAGAGCCGTGTTTAAATGGTGGCCGCTGCATTGCTCCGGACACGTGCGGCTGTATTTACGGCTATACGGGGAAAAGGTGTGAAGCTGGTAAGTAAAAAATTAGCTATTTTCATATTGTCTCATTTTGCAAACTTTCAACATTTGAAGCTAATAATTAAGGCAATGAGTAAATAATTTTGTATCTATATTTTTTCATCGTGGAGGAATGTTTATTTTTACTCTTCTCGGTAACCGTGAATTATCAAGTTTAGCAATGTGAACCAAAAATTAATTAAAATGTTTCATTGCTCAATTTGAGACGAAATTTGCTTAAATAAGAATAAATTTAATTTTTTTAAAAAGTTATTTGGTGTTTACTCCAACATTGTAATTTTTATAATTATTTGGAGATCGTGAGATGCCGTCTGGTGTGACGTAGGTTTAGAAAATCATTTCTTTATCGAGCCAACGTTTCGTTCTTTGTGATATTAATCTTGAGTGAGATATTAAAGTTGTTTGTTTATATAATAATAAACAAAAACAACACGACACACAGTAATGACACATCTACACAGAAAACAAGCATTGAGAGAGTACAAATACTTTGATTGAGTATAAAATTTCCAGTATTGTAAAAAATTCACATCATACATGTATATGTATAATTTAAACAATGTTTATAAATCCCTTGCCCTGAAGATGATCTCAATAAAGATCGAAACGTTAGCAAGATATTTTTTTTAAATCTACGTCACAACAGGCGATCTCCAAATAATCATTAATTAACGGGCAATAAACACCACATGTAATTTTTATATTTACACGATTTGTTAAATAAACGTACAATTATTTTTGTTTTAAGTGTGTACAACCCGTTCTATTGGTGTTCATTTTTTTACGCTGTGGTACTATATTATTTAATAAAGTTAATACCCCATTTTCATAACAAATTGTCCATTAAAAAATACTAGTTTTTATCATATGAAAGTGTTACATAGTTCTAAAAAATCGTTTAGGTAAATAAATATAATAGAAATATATGTATACACGTTTTTCAGCATATCCACCAGCGCATAAAGCACGCACGTACGGATACGGTTTTGCTTAGTAAGCCCAAATCATCGTAGACATGTAGTGTTACAGAAATATGTCCAGTCCTGTTTAAACTACTGCTAAAGTACTTAACGTACTTAATGCTATTTCTAAAGTATAGGTCGGAGTTGTCAACGACCTTGACTAATTATTTTAATGCTAGTAACTTGTCGCCGGACCACGATGACTCTTTACTGGCTTGACAAAACATGATACGACCAACTTTGTCTTTTTGTTGTATAGTCAGTCTCTGGGTTCACTCAAAATAGGCTACGGGTCAAACTAAATGGTAAATAAAGGAGCACGGTCGGAGAGAAGACTGGAGAAGTTTAAATTCTAGTTATTTATTTTCAAACCTGAATTGAAGTACGTACTGAGTGCGTTGTCATGCTCTCCCTGACACATAACAGTTATTGTTCAATATTGATTCAGTCTTTTCAGTATTTGAGAGACCTGTGTGAATAATGATTTAAATATTATCACAAGGTCACAAGGATCCAACATCATTTCAATCACTGCATTTAAACTCAATTCAGAAATTTACTAGCCTTGACACTGAAAGGACCGGTTGCCCAAAAAGCTTTCGGTATTAAAATAGATCAACTTTTATCTCTTCGGGATGAATCGTTTGTTGTATCGAAAACCAGTTTTTTTGGAGATTGACTCATCGACGTATGGCCTGCTGGGGGGATAAATCATTACGGATGCTTCTGCTGTTCTTCGACCCTACTCTGAAACCGCAAAAGTTTATTTTAACGTTAAATTCTGGGATGATTAAAAAATCAGGATTCAACAAGAACTCGTTTCATATTTTACTTCGACGAAAATGTTTTTTATTTATTTATTTTAACCCTTTTATTGTGAACAGTTTATTATAAAACACTTTAAAACTTAACTGTTTTAAAACACGGTCTTGATCGGCAAATCTATGGTGCAACCTGATCATTTATATTTTTCATTTATAAAGGAAATTTGTAACTTTCGTTGGAGTAAGTGGTACAATTTCTCAATCGAAAATGTTGTTGCCCAATTTAGTGCCCTGAGGAAGGCAAAATATATACACTGAAAACATGGACAACTTACAACTGGTCCTTTCATTTGACTACAAGTTGATTTACGTCCAAACCTGAAAATTGTTGGTCTATACGTCAGGATGAAGGGATAAGTCTGTGTTTCTTTAACCGCCATTCGAATGCAAGTGTTTTCAGCAAAGTTTTATGTGTAATAGAAAATAGACTTTTTTATTTTCTGGAAGTGGCGAGGATAATGATGAACTCAATAATCTATTTTCCTTTCTGTTCTTTTTATTAAAAAAGAAAAACAGGTGTTGAGTTCAATATTATCCTCGCCACGTCCAGGAAGAAAAAAAGGAAAAACAACTAAAAAAACTAAAGAAGCATACTTTTTCAAATTCTTGAAATATTAAGTTTCTGTATATATACAATGATTTAATTTATTTTTAATCTTTATTATACAGATGTTTAGAAAATGGTAACAAGACTGAACAATTTTAGTAAGTCAGTTAAAAATTGCCCAACTTTTTTGTTGCCATGTCAAAAAATTATCAAAATGAACAAAAAATATTTGCACTGTAAAGGGATCCAAACTAATAGGAATGTTTCAGGCGTTACACTTCCTGAATGTCTTGAATGAGGCGTATTTCTATATTTTTCTTTAAAGGTAGCATTTACATTTATTTAAATTTGTGTTGTGGCAAATGTATTCATCTTTATAACTTAGGATATTTTAATCGAAGTATAACAATCAGAAATAGAATTTTTCTCTTTTTCTATATGAAGTGTGTGACTAACCAAATTTTGGTGCACACTCGTGTCTTAAAAGTAGAAGTTTGTTCGTCGGGATTATCAAAGGACGACTGTTTCTTGAGGGGATAATTATTGATGCTTGCTGTACATAATGTTAAAGCAAGATTCCGAAGCTTTCGTTGGGAAAGAACTGCGTTAATTAATATTGATTAAGGCCCGATTTTACAAGACTTACAGTTCTGTTTCAATGTTGTTGTTTTTTTAACGGACGGCCGATGCATAGCTAATCAATTTTGAAAATAATCACCATGAGCCTTCCCATATTTTGAACTGCACCCGCTTATTAACGTTTCCGCCCTATCAGGCGAAAAAAAATCTGTTAATTTTAATGTCAGACTACAGGACTGGCCCTTGCTACACGAAGGTCGTCAACGGAATGTGCCAAGCCCAGCTACAGGGCGTCGTGTGCACGAGGAACCTCTGCTGTGCCACTGTCGGGAAGGCATGGGGACATCCTTGCGAGATGTGTCCGCACAACCTGCCCTGCGACGAAGGCTACCTCCAGAACATACACTCGGGGATGTGCGTCGGTGAGTTTTTTCAACTTAAAAAAATAATCAAGCTTCTAAAGGGATTTCTTATACCGTTCTTCTTTTTTCTCAGATATTAACGAGTGCGAGGCGATCCCCGGGCTTTGCATCGGTGGAAAATGCGTGAACACAATGGGCTCTTTCAAATGCCAGTGTCCTGTGGGTCAGGCTAGGGATGAAGAGACGAACATGTGCAGGGATGTGAACGAGTGCAAATCTGGACAGGCTTTGTGTGAAAATGGAAGATGCGTCAACACAGACGGCAGTTACTATTGTCTCTGTAATCCCGGTTTTATTGCAAACCGTGATAACACAGGATGCATTGGTACGTATTGAATATTTTCCTAAACATACCATTATAGACTCATTTATCTATGAGTTTTTTCATAAAGACAAAACATGAGCAAACTTTAAAGGCATTTATGTTTTATTGACAAATGACAATAATGATAAAACTTTTTTCTAAATATGTATTTATATTTCCAACGACATTGTTTTCACCGATATCAAAATAATTTATAAGAATGTAAATAGAAATTTCAACAGTTCAGAAAAGTTCAAGAAGTTCGCGATCGTGCAAACAAAAATGGCTATAGACGTGGGATCAGAGATTTTAAGAAACCCTATTTGAGTGATATGTACATACTAGGTTGAAAAATATTAGACACGTGCCTCAGAGATTCTTTAAATGATCCCTAGAAACCATAAAAAAAAAATTTTATTGAATGTATTTTTTGGCCTTTGATGTGTGTGTATTATATATCAGAAGATTTGCATTTTAACGAACAACAAATATGCAAGAGTGGATGCAATGAGAATAGATTCATCAACACTTGTAAAAACCAAAAGGCACTAGTAAAATAAGCAAAAAAAAAGTTTCTGATAAAACAATTTGGACTCGTTTACGAATTTTTATTGCAATAAAACTCTCGGATTCTCTTCGGCTATTTTTTGTTTTCTCACTGTTGTCCGGTGGTCCACTTAGAATTAGCATAACTCCACTGGACTTTACCCACATTCCACGTGATTACAACTGATAAAAGTCAGAATATTTTTTTCAGGCTGTCAGAAAAAGTTTAGATTTGTTGATATTATAAATGCGAAAAATAAGGATGAAATTAACAAAAAACAATAATACAAAGAGTTTATTTGTTACCTCAGGATCTGATTGATTTACGTAGGACAAGTTCATGTTTATACGTATATTTTAGAAACTTTTAAACCATTTCAACTAAAATTTTATTATTGATGGAGACGGTGCAAAGTTATCAATAATTTTGTGATTTTCGAAATTATTTGCAGCCATTTGGAAGGCAAAAATTTGAGAAAAAATTATTTTTTGATTTAAAAAAAAATTGTATTCAGGAGTTTTCTGGGGGGGGGGGCAAAAAACGAATATCAACTTTGTTTTTGCCTAAAAATATACATATTTCAACTTACATTGACGAAGTTACCGTTACTTAGCAAAGTAGTTTATTTTATTTTTATCTTAGGTAAAAAAAAATCGAATGGTATAAAGCCTGAAATACATGCACAACGAAGTTCAAAAATACATTTAACAAGTACATTACTTGAACTACATAAAATATTTTTTCCTGGCTCCTAAGGCATTAGCATGAATCAATCCCACGTCTCTAGCACCTTGGCCACATACGTTTGACTTCTTACATCCTCCAACAACGCTATGATTCTAACCGAACCTATATCACTTAAAGCCATTGCTCAAACAAATTTGAAACTTAAAGATGGTGCAAGTTAAAAAAACCAAATCACCGGAACGTTGAAAAGATGCTTTACAGAAAAACCAACAATAAAGAGATTGACGATTGAACGATTTATTTACAAAATACAACTGTAATCGAGTGCGAGATGTTATCTGTGTTTTATTTACCTCTAATACTTTAAAATGAACCAAATGTTAGTAATAAGTAGGACAATAATTAAAGGATTATCTAAGAGATAATTAAAAATATTAAGGCCACTTTTCCTCTCAGTGTATATTTAATTTTTTTGAGTTTTATTATTGTTTAAAACCTTGTGGAAGAGGCAACGGAATTAGTGACTGTTTTAGCCTCGTAAGGAATAACTTTTTCTGAAATATTATTTATTCTGATTATTAATGAAAAGTTCCATTCACGTCAAACCACAATTTTTTAACCTTTGAATTCAAAATAAGCCCTTCAGCATTATTAAATGATCTTTAATAACTGGCATTATCTTGGTGAAACAGTACCATTCCTCTTGACCAGTACAGAGCATTTAAGCTTCATTTATTGGTCCAAGTATTAACTCATCACAATAGAATTTATTAGTGAAAGCTGTACTTAGTCGTAAAAGTTCAAATATTGCAAATATTGTCTATCTAGTTACAAAAATATCAATCGTTGTCAATTCGCGCGTGTTTTTAACGACCGGTGTTAGAACTTCTATGTAAAGTCAAGATTTTTCTTTCTTTCTTGACCATCTTTTTGCTCCCTAGGTATTAAAGAATGGAAAATTGTACATAGAAAGGCAAATCGACAACTAATATTCAAGTTAAGCTTCAGTCATGTTGAACCGAATGAAAATACTGAATAGTCAAATGAGAAATGTACAAATAGGACATAAAAGTTTGTATATTCCAAATATTGCTCATCTAGATTCCGAATAATATCTACTTTTGCCAATTTGGTATTTGCAACAACTGGTGCTAGCTCTTCAGAAAGTCAAAAATTTTCGTTCTTTCTTGATTCACTTTTCGTCCCACTTCTACTGAACCACATTAGTAGAGAAATTGACTACTGATCCAGAAATATCAGTTATGTAGAACCCAAGCAAAACACTGAGTAGGCGAATGAGAAATATTAAAGATAAGACATAAAACTTCATGTACTGCATATATTGTTCATCCAGATACTACAAATATCCATTTATGCCGATTTGCATGCATTTGTAACAACTGCTGCTGGCTCTACAGAAAGTCAAGATTTGTCATTATTTCTTTTACGTGTTTCGCTTTTTCATAATAAACGGCAGAACATTTCAATGACAAATCTAGGCAGATCGACAACATAACCTCAAGTTTCAATCATGGAATCCAAACAAAAGGTGAACTGAATTTCTGCCCATAACGATTTCGCCCTTTAATCGTCGTCAAAGTCAAAAGTCCATTTTTATTTAATGAATAATGAAAATTTATATAAATCATACAAACCACATTGGAACGTGACATCCATTAAATTTTAAAGTATCAAAAGCAAACATTTTCGCAAAGTTACATTGCCCATTTTTGAAAATTTTATCGAAAACTACAGCGTATTGCCCTTTTAGTGGTGATTCAATCAATATTATTATACGATGAATAAATGACCTGCATTCATTTTTTATTTTAAAAAAATCATTGTTTTTCGACAAGTTTTCGCAAATTTAAACAGACCACGGTATAAAGATTTTCTTATATAAAATATAACTTAGCATACATATATATTTTTTCAATATACAATGATATATTATTTGTTGGTTGATCTTTAATCATCCTGGTCAGTATGCCTTGCTGGTTTTAGCTGTTCTATTAATGGTAATGGCGAAATGCGTATAACAAGCAAAACCGGCGGGAATAGACAGGCCAGGATAATTCAGAGATTATAATGATAAGGGTTCATCACTTCTCATGTCTATACAATTTTTTTTAAGACGCTAGACAAGACTATTGCTACACGACGGTGAGCAGGAGCGGTGTCTGCCAGCAAAAGTTGTCGATGCGATTGTCAAAGCGAGACTGCTGTTGCGGCATGAACATGGGCCAGGCGTGGGGACACAACTGCGACCTCTGTCCGATTCAAGGAGAAAGTAAGTATACATAATTTATTACCCTATTGATAATAATAGGAATTTAATTGAATATCGATAAATTAGGCCTATTCATTGGATCTTTCGCTCTTTGTATTATTCATTAGCCGAACGACATCTGATTAGCCGCTTTTGCATTTCAGGCCCTTGTGGGGCCGGCATGAATACAATTCCGGCATTTTTAAAGGGTTTTACGCAAGAAACATGAAACACGTCTTTCAGGTACAGCCGGGCTCTTTTAATGATTCGACATGTCAGATACGTATCATTATACACAAATGATTGTTCTCTCCTTTGAGAATTGATGGAAAAGTAGAAGGTACGATGATGAAGAAACTCATTTGAAAAATTGTGAGTTTCACGAAGCTAACTAGCATAATTATAACTGTTAAAATTAAAAAATAAACGTCATTTTTTTAAATACTATTTCCAACAATAACTAACTACTTGACGATTTTTAACTTACATAAAACACACTTTTTTTTTACACATTATTACTGTTATAATATACTAGCAACACAAAACTTGTTTATTATTTTTTTCTTTTTTAAATTAAGGTTGACAACTTCATATTATTTGAAAAACTTAAATTTGAGTACAAAATATTTTTAAATAAAAAATCGCCTTTATAACATTAAAATTAGCCAATGTTTAACAAGGTTATTATCTTAACAAGGCTTAAGACATATGACTATCTTCCGGTGGGCGGCCGTCAACAACAGGGTCCCCAATGCAATGAGCCGGTGACATTCGGTCACTTACTATGGGGGGAGGGTTGCTTAAAAATCCATAAGAGAACGGTGTGCCCTGCATTGGAGTGCTTGTATATATGCATATAACCTATAATTATTTACTCTGTCTCTTTACATATTTCATTTCTTGTAATTATGGATGTATGTATTTATTAGCGAGAATATTGGTTAAATGAATTTTAATGAAAACAGGCCTCTCGTCGAAGTATCCAAATACTGCCTGTTACCTGTGTTTTAATTATTAGTATGGTATAAATGAGGAATGACCAATTGCGGAATATTGAGAACTCCGATGGCCCCCTATCTTTTCACTTGTAAATAGTTTAGTATGTATGTTTAGTGTGAAAGGTTGTCAAATAACTAAACCTACAATAATTCAATCTGCCTCTTTACATATTTCATTTCTTGTAATTCTGGTTGTATGTATTTATCTGCGAGAATGATGATGGCTGTATGGGTACGCATGTTGTTTTAAACTATAGGTTGGTTATCATCAGCTACAGCTCGTCATGTAGTATGCTTGATTTTTCTATAAATGGTATATTTATACAAAAATTTATGAACTAATTTGTTCCATAGCACGTTAAATTTTTTACATTTTTATCAAGGATAATAATCGAAATGAAACGTTTTCAATTGAAATAAAACGGGTTGGATATGGAAACGGTTGCTTGCGACTTGGAAAGGTCTACATTTGACTAGAAATGTGTGGTGATAGTGACTGTTAATCGATAATTATGCAGAAATCGTGAGATGCGGTCTGGTGTGATATAGGTTTCAGAAAAACATTTTGTTTATCGTGCCACGTTTCGATCTTTATTGACATCATCTTCAGGGCTCAGTGTTTGTCTTCTGTGCAATTGTGCCATTCTTGCGTGTCGGGGCACTCTCAACACGAATGGCGCAATTACTCAGAAGACAAACACTGAGTCCTGAAGATGATCTCAATAAAGATCGAAACGTGGCACGATAAACAAAATGTTTTTCTGAAACCTATATCACACCAGACCGCATCTCACGATTTCTGAATAGTTGCACTTGACTTGGAAAGGTTCAAATAGACTGCTATATAATGCTACATAAAAATGCTGTGTGATCATATGATAGTCTAATGTAATTTCAATGGAAAATTTTCTTAAATGAAATCCTAATTAAAAAAAAAACATTTATAACAAAAGATAGCAGAAAGTACGACTCGCCGAGTTCTCGCGGTTTTAGATACAAATCAAATTAAATCTATATATTTATAAATTTTTTATAAAGTTAATAAAGTATTAACAATGTCATTAATAATTTGTAGTTTTTCAAAGATATCACTCATTTCGAGATGCTGTATCCTTTGTTTTTGTTCTCATGTCTTGTGTCAGCCTAAATAAACGGCAAAGCCTTTTCGTCTTCTCGATTTTTCGTTCCAACCCCATTTGGCAACGCTCCTAATTCGGACGGGCCGTCATTTTGTCCGAAAACGTTAGACACGTACAAACCAAATTACACAGCTGGAATGTTAAACAAATTCAACTTCCACCATGGAGGAAACTATGACGAGTGCATATTTGTCATAGCTCGAGCCGGAAAGGGCTCGGCCGTTTCATTTCAAACGCAGAAACCTCAAACCAGTATAAAAATAAAACGGGCCTCGCGTCAACCTTTCCAGACCAGCAATTAACTTTTCACCTGTGGGAAAACGTTTTGAGGGTATTTGCCAAAAATTCTAACTTGTTGCTATGAACAGTGATCTTACGCGGGACGGGAGACGCGTCTTGAAGCCCAATTTGAAAAATTAAAAACCAAGATACGATTTGTTTCAAGCGTTTTCTCGCCAAATGTTGCATAAGAGAATGTGTAAATAATGTGGTTTAATTTAAAAAAATATAAAATTGTAAAATCCGTCAATTTGGAACACCGATTGCTAATCCTTCCCGTTGAAAAGGAATAAAATCTCTTTCATATTTATAGCCTCATAAAGTATAAATAGGCAATAATAAAAATAAATAAATTAGGAAATAAAGACAAAAAGATGAGGCCATGACCACACTCTGTGAGTTTTTACTTATTTTTATGGTCTCTCGTCAGTATTTTTCAACCTGCAGCCATGTCAGCTTCTGTACTGACTGAGTATGTTACTCTGCTTTTATAACAAATTTAAATCGATATCCTAAAATGCTATGTATGTATGTATATATATATGTATAATATGTATTGTATGTTTTATATATATTCTATAATTGATAACTTGAGGAACTTGACAACACGCAGAAGGCCGGGCATGGCCTCATCTGTTGTCTTTATGTCCTAATTTTTTATTTATTATTTCCTTATTATATACATACATCACCACAAATGTATAAGTCTAGTTACATTCACTCCCCAGAGAACTTGATATCATTTGGAGCGGAGTTCAACCCAATCCATTCTCGCTACTAACTTACTTTTATTCTTCGACATCACACATTCACCTAGAATGCTCGATATTCTTCGGGGCAGAGTTAAACAACCTCTTTCTTTCCCGCTAATAAATTACATTCCTATAATAAATAAGCATAAACACTACACAAAGCCTCATAAACATTATACACTCTAACCATCCTTATTTATACATTTAAAAATCTCTAGAGCCCTGAATTACAGGAACAGGTCTGACAATATGTCAAAATATTGCCTGCATATGTTAAGCCCTCTACAATTAAAAAGATCCTCGCTTGTTTGTCGACTACTGAAGTTCTCTCCTAGATTAATCGGATTTGTCTAACTTCTTATATTATTTTTAAACGTTATCCTTGGCTTTTCTTTCAGGTAAGTATAAGGCGCTTTGCGGAGGCGGAGGCAACGGGAGCGGCCACGGTAATGGTGGAAACGGAGGCGGCTACGGAGGTGGAGGTCTCGTTCTTGTTGACGAGTGCGGACTTAGGCCCGACATCTGCGGAGGTGGAAGCTGCCAGGACACGCCCGAGGCTTACACGTGCACCTGTTACCCGGGCTACAGGAAGGGCCAGTCACAAGTGTGTGAAGGCTAGTTACATAATAGAACAATTTTTGTCCTTTAATAACAAAAATCCTTTTAATTGTGGCCGAGATATCGCCGTGAGATAAACCGTTAATTCTATTTTTAGACGTCGACGAATGCCAGTTGGGCTACTGTTACGGCGGCCGGTGCTTTAATTCCCCCGGAAGCTTTGAATGCACGTGCCCCCCCGGTTTCGACGTGTCATCAGATGGCAAACGATGCATTGGTGAGACTAAAAAAAAATAATTTAACACAAACTTATATTTTGAGCAAAATTCCAATTTTTTGAAGGAATAACACTTTTATATAGATATATTTAGTTTAAAAGACTGTATAATATAAAACTATGTCTTCTACGATCAAGCCAATATTATACCCACATCTAATGCATTTAATTACAATAATTTTAAAATATATCACTTATAACTTTGTGCTAATCAACTTTTGCTCAGATCACGACGAATGTACTCAAAATGGAATGTGCGCTAATGGCTTTTGTATCAACATGGACGGGTCTTTTAAGTGTCAGTGCAAGGACGGGTTCGTCTTATCTGCCACCGGGCATTCTTGCATAGGTAATGTCCTTATTATAAACGTTTTACTTCCTTTAACTACTTCGACGTGACTACATTTTCAGATACGGACGAGTGTCTGGAGAACCCGAGAATATGCCTCAACGGCCGGTGCGAGAACACCCCAGGTTCTTACCGGTGCATATGCCAGTCAGGATTCACCCTGTCAGCAGACGGCAGTTTCTGCATGGACACCGATGAGTGCTCCAAATCGAATCGGATGTGCGACAACGGGAAATGCATCAACATGGAAGGCACATACAAGTGCCTGTGCGATTCGGGCTTCAAAGCTTCACCCAGTCAAACAAGCTGCGTGGGTAAGTGTACAATGGAGATTCTCAATTCGCCTAAACCTACTTGAGTTATTTTAACAAATATACGAATAACACAGACTTCACTGTGGCCAGATATCGACGAATGCCAAAGCCCGAATCCGCCGTGCGGTAACGGGAGGTGCCGGAACACGATCGGGAGCTTCTACTGTGAGTGCAACTACGGCTTCAACCTGGGACCCGACGGGCGGACATGCGTCGGTAAGACTGCGGCTGGTTGAGCGGGAAATTTGTGGTTTAATTGTCGGAATTTCAGACACAAGGAGGGATTTATGCTACGCAACAGTCCAAGAAGGTAAGTGCGCTAATCCATCGACGACGCCCGTCTCCAAATCGAGTTGCTGCTGCTGCGTGACCTTCCCGAATCAGCCGATGGCCTGGGGATCTTCTTGCCAAATTTGTCCTCAACCGAACACGGAAGAATTCAGGACCCTTTGCCCCCACGGGCCTGGAATGACAAACGCGGGAATAGGTTTGTGAAAATTATCTTTCAAAATGAAACAATTTATGTTTTGTGTACACGCAGGACCTTTTCACTGACACAGAAGGCGTAAAGTAAAATAAACTTCTATCTCTTCATTAAAAGAATAATAAAAACATGCAAAAGTACACACCCCTCTATTTACTAAATGCAATCTACCTGGTGAGTTTGTCACCATAGACTATTCCATAAGGGAAGTCTATCTTATTCTTCAATTAAATTATCCGGAATAAATCCATTAAGAGACTACAACCACTTATAGGGGATTTAAAGGATTATTTAATTTCCACAGATCAAGCAGGTTCCCATCCAACTTGATGGATTATCGACACGATTTGAATGGGCTTAAAAATGCGCTCACTTTGAACCACATTAGCATAAAAGGGGATAAAGACAAAATATAAATCACTGCTATAACTTTTTTTACATGATTGAACAAGTTGACATACTTGTTAAACGTGATTTATTCTTGGTTTTAACATATTAAAAATTAATTCCCTTAAACGACCAAGCCCCCGATAAACTTGCTATATCTAGGTATCAAACTGTCAAAATTTATTCCCGGTAGAATATGTTTTTGTTGCTACTAAACAAGATGGATTTGACATATTATAATTTCGTGTACGACCACTTTTTGACACTTCAACAACGTGTCAAACTTTTATTCTAAGTGCTACACGCTATAAGCTGATTTGTCCCGGGATTATAGTTCTATAATGGAAGATTGTTTTTTTTCCCAAAAAAAGATATGTATTTTCATGTTTAAAGGAATTAATAAAAGAGCTGTTTTTGACCATATATTATCGTGATCACCAGGAGTTGAAGCCTTGATTAATTATAAACATGGCCTCTTTCTCACGCAGACCCACAAAAAGACTATTAAACAATTAATCATCGTAAACCTATTTATGCTACGGACGTCGGATCACCGATTTTACAGACCCTTTTTTGGTGATATTTTGTCCAAAAATCTGAGCATTTTTGAGAATGATAGCAGCCGTGAAAAAAATTAAACTAATATGAATTTTTTTTAAATGCCTTGTTCTGCCTTAGGAACTAACTTAGGAATAGGAAATAATATGAAAGATCTTATTAAATAAGATACTCATATTTTATAAAAAATTACAAAAACAAAAAGACGGTCCAGTAAATGATTTAAAAAATTGTTTTTGAAAAAAAGCAATTCGGATTGGTTTTAATCACCTCTTATAGCCATTAATAGACATTTTTGGGTTGGTTCTGCCGAGGGAACTGTTTTTCTCATATATGTACAGTGTTACAAAAATTCATAATTCTTCAAGGTTTTATCCTATTTATATTATATTTCTGCTATATTTATTCCTAACTATATTTTAACTCATTTTTAAGTGGAATGTTGTACTTTGGAGAGAAAAAAAATTACGCCCGGATAATACTGCCAAAAATCTCCATATTTTATTTACTGTGAAAATTTAGAACTTTAGAGTTTAAAGGTTTTTTTGGCTGCATTTTTTACGTAGTAGGAGTGTAGAAGAACTGGTAGTAAATATTAGAAATATTAAAAATTAAAAAGTATTACATGAAATAAGATATGTATATAAAAAATTACAAACACATATTCAGTAAAGTAAAAAAGAATTTAAAAAATGTTTATACAATTTGTTTTCAGGACCCTTTCCAGCCCGCAATACGAATATTTTTGAGATGACTTAGAATGGGTTAAATGTTTTCCTCTGATCATCGGCGTTCTATTTAAGTTGGCCACCTTTAGTCCAAATTTAACATTATTACAACCAATAAAAAGCTTTATTTTCGTTCTTAACCAGGTTTAGATTTGATGTGATTATACATGGGAAAAATAAAGATGAAATGAACCAAAACTCGTCAAATGTTTATGACATTACCTGTATTATATAAAATATATTATAAATATAAATTTCTGTAATTGTTTATAGAATCAGTGGATTCGTTTCAAAGGCAAACAGTTTGAGTATACAAATTTTAGGAAAAAATTGAATTCATGGTTTTTTGGGGGTGCAGACCATTTATGATAAGCTATCTATGGAAATATAACACAGTTAATTTTTGGAATTTTATTGTTTATTTCATTCTTATTTGTCTCATTAATAATGATATAAACACCAGAGGTTCAGAGGAATAGTCTGAAAGTACAAAAATGCAATTTTCCACCGGTTGTAATGGCTTGGGCAGTGGATAAGATGCAGAAGAGTTACAAATTTTCATATGCAACACCGTGCATCATAAAAAATGCCTCCATGCTAATTCAGCCCAAAATGGCTATTTTATTTTATACAAAATTTATAATAATTATTTATAGCTATTTTATAATTGTATAACAAAACTTATAATAATTGGTACTTAAGTAATTTAAGGATATGCTTGAAACGAATCCGAATGATTAGGGGAAAAGTATTTTGTCCTATTTTACTGGAAGCGACTTTTTCTTTGTTTATTAAATTTAATACTATCGTCCATATTACTTTCTTATTCTAAATAAAAAGAAATAAAAGCAAGTCGATTGATGTGTATAATGACAATGAAAGACAAGCACTAAAACTGCAGAAAGCTTGATGTTGTAAACATTATATAATTTAATTACAATATTTCTTTACACGTATCAAATTTTTTTTCGATTTTGTATGACTAAAAAATTTGTTGTGGAAATCAGTAGGTCCACATCTGTAGCCCTTTCTGTTTCATCCATAATCTACATAAATTGACACTTCTCCCTTATGGTAAACATTTCAGCAAACACTCTAAAAACTTTTTTTTATTTCTATGGATTTAATTTATTTACCGTAATCTGCAATGGTTCGTGTGAATCGGCGGTGTCGTTTCTAAATTGTCAATATTTTGTTTTAGAAAAAATTCTGAGGTATTATCAGGGAAAAAATTTGGATTCAGAATGTTTTTGGGGTGCAAAAACCAATATCGACTTTATAGAAATGATTTGAGGCGGGGTGAGTATGTCAATTCACTTGATGGAAAAGATAGAATTAAGCAGCTATCCGGATTTTGAGCATTAAATACTCAAATAATTTTGTAGATCATGAGTATTTAATACTGGAATTCGGGATAGCTGCTTAAAAGTCTGTGAGAACTACCTTTTTCAAGAAGCGAGTATCTTTATTTTTTGCCAAAAGAAAATCTTAACTTACATAGCTACGCTGATCGCAACTTATGTATTTCAATAGGTACAAGCTTATGCAATTTTGATTCGAGCGAGATTGGCATTGTTAATACAATATTCAATCATTAAATAATAATGATCTGAGTCCGTAGCCTCCCCTTGTAAATAAATATAAATTTATAATAGATTTTTTTCAGATATCAACGAATGTTCTCAAAATCCCAACATATGCCAGAACGGCGCTTGTGAAAACCTGATGGGTTCCCATAGGTGCATTTGCAACCCGGGTTTCGAGAGCGACGTGACCGGAAAAGCATGCGTGGACATCGACGAGTGTAAAACAGACGACAACATATGCATGGGAGGCCAATGTAGGAACACGCCGGGAAGTTTTCAAGTAAGACAGTTGTACTCATTAATTTATCCCAAAGGAATTAATGTCCGTTTCGTTTCGCAGTGTATCTGTCCATCGGGAACGCAACTCAACGTCCTGACACATGCCTGCGAAGACGTCGACGAATGCCGGGAACTCGGCTCTGACGCGTGCTACAACAGTTTTTGCATCAACACGGTCGGTTCGTTCATCTGTGAATGTGAGCCGGGTTCTATCCTTGACCACACGGGAAGGGCTTGTATCGGTTAGTTCTCTTTTTACTTCTATCCTTTGTTGACTTTTAAAATTAACCCTTAATATTCTATAGACAATAGAAAAGGAAATTGCTGGACACGTTTGGTCGGTGGAAGATGCGAAAACAGCCTTCCCCAGCTAACTTTAAAATCAGAATGCTGCTGTTCGGTTGGACTCGCCTGGGGGAGTCCTTGTGAGCCATGCCACTACAAAGACTGCGACTGTGCCAAAGGATATACAAAAGTATGCATTCCTTCCAAAATTGCTTTACAGTATTCCTATGCATAACTATATTTTCGAATAAGACATCATAAATGCTCCATGGGGAGGACTAAAATACCTTACACTCATTTTCTTTCTTTTTAACCAAATCACGAATATAAGTATGGTATGTACATGCAAGGTTGTATACGAAGTAGGGAGCTTATGCTGGTTCGAAGGATTTTTGGCTGAAGCGACTGGAATCTCTGGAGATTGGAACGCTTGGCTGAACAACACAGTTCGATTCCGAACGTCCAGATTGGTTGTAGAAATGATGAGTAGATGAGGCGTCTGTTTTGTAAGTGGAAATTTCAATTGATGGTCAAGTAGTCTTTTCAGTAGTTATATTGTGCGTTCGGTTCTACTATTTTGCGTCGGTAGGGTTCTAAGTATGTCTTTTGTCGAAGTAAGTACCAAATAGTACCATAGTGTACGCAATTGATTGCTGGGGTTGCAAAATGAATTTAAGCTCTAAAATACTTAATTATACTGACCCACCCTTTGTAATAAAGATACTCCAAACATAAACTTGCAATTATTTCTCAACCCAGTCTTGTTGGATTGATCGACTCTGATCACTCTGTTCAGGGAGGCTTCATGCTATTTTCAATGAGGATCAGACACCACCAACTTACATAATTTGGATAAGCTGCGAAAAAATTGGATGAAAAAGTAAAATACATTGTATTTTTAGTTCAAATGATAAATATTACATTCTGCACCTGAGGCCTTGAAAGGTATTTTGATTAATTTGAGGACTTTTTTTTAATTAATTAATTTAAATTAATTCTTAGACTGCTCAATCGTCAGATATTCTTAAGATATATTGTATCTTACAATTAGAGACTTAAAACTTTAAAGACTGGGTGCTTTTAATTTTTAATTATGATTCCCATAAACTTAATTTAATAGTGCGGATCTAAAGGTAATCTAACATAACTGAACATATACAAATTCCACGCTTTTAAAGTTGCTCTCCAAGGTTTTCTCAATAGTTAAATCGTGTTGATTAGGAGGTTCTGCCGGGTTAAGGAGGTCAGCCGCCTGACGGGGTTCTTGGGTGGGTCGGGTGGGCTGGGATGTGAGGATAGGTTTTAGGGAAAAATTTACTGGGGATTAGGTTTTTAACGAAAGGTATTTGGATGTCATTATGAAGGGTTGGAGACCTATGGTTCTGAAGACATTAAATTGTAAAGATTTTTTTAAATGTTGGAAGATCTTGTTCTAGATGATGTTCTCGTCTATGTGTCCTAATCACTTCAGAGATGTTGTTTAGAGTTTAGTGTATTTTTTGTCAATAAACGTGATTTTCTTGATATTAATTTCTATAGTAGCCCAAAGCGTCTGCTTAATTGCTGTCTTTTTGTTAGTATGTGTCTGTTCCAAGTTTCCCGTGAGCAATAGAAGATACAGGGAAGGGGATTAATTGAGAAGTAGGTTTTTTCGAAGGGTAAAGGTAATATCGGTGCATTTACTTTAAATTGCCTTTATTAGCCAGTTTTCTACACTCGGCTATTCGTTGGAAGTCTGCCTAGAGGTCTTTCGAAACAACTGCGGCACGCGATCAGGGGACATCTGAATCGTCACCAAAGGACGTAAGAAGGGTGGAGGGTATAGTCGGGATATCTTAGGTATAGAGAAAACAGGATTGGTCAAAACACACTCCCCTGTGGCACTCCTGCTCGCACAGGTTAGTATTCAGAGAAGTCCGATTCTTGGCAAACTCGAAAGAATCGTTCTGTTAGGTAGAAGTATTGTGTGCGAAGTTTTAATTTGTATAGGTAACTCTCATGCCACACGTAGTCAAACACTTGTGACACATCAATAAAGGCCTCATAATTTGTTTATTCATGGGATGAGATTAAGAAGAACGCAAAGCACAAGTATTGTGGAATGTTGAGAGCGAAAGCCGAACTGGTGAACTGGGAGATTTTAATGTCTGGATCAATCAAGAAAGGATCTTCTAGAATAATTTTAAGAAGAGAGGAAGTAGGAACGGACGGTTATTAATTTGAGACCAAAACTACAACAACAGACGCTTGACGATTCCGTAACCAATATAAAATGTGGATACAATTTTATCTTTGAAAATTATACAAAAATAAGAAATAACAGGAAAATACTATTTAATGGTGTTTTCAATGTTTTAAAGAGTGATGGAAAAGTATGCAAAGACATAAACGAATGCGAATTAAACGCTGGTGTCTGCAAAGGAGGAGGCACATGCGTCAATACAGACGGTTCTTTTACGTGCGTCTGTTTGCCCGGATTAACTTTAGACTCGACAGGTAATTTGACAAGAAATTTATTCAGTTATCTTCACAACATTATTATTGTTTGTTCTTTGCCATTTTTAGGGACGATGTGCATCGATATGAGGCAGGAAAGCTGTTTTACAGATTACAAGCACGGCCAGGGGGTGATCCCGATCGAAGGCGTCTACCCGAAAAGTCTCTGTTGCTGTTCCAAAATCGGAAAAGCCTGGGGTGGTTCTTCGGACGGTGACAGATGCGAGTCTTGCCCTAAACCAGGATCGCCCACATTTACAGATCTCTGTCCAAAAGTAATAATTTAAAAAAATACATATTGAAAAAGGTTGTAATCAAAAAATCAATTTTAGGGCCAAGGTTTTGTCGACAAGAAGGACATCAACGAGTGCATGCAGTTTCCAAGCATGTGCAGCAACGGAAGGTGTAAGAACACGATGGGAGGATTCAATTGCAGGTGCAACCAAGGCTACGCGTTGGACGACACGGAGACAAAATGTGTCGGTGAGTAGATTGTCGGATTCGTACCGTTCTAACGAAAGTTTATTGCAATTTACGCCGTTTCAGACATCGATGAATGCAGCATAATGCACGGCGTCTGCGGAAGCGGCACGTGTCAAAATCTGCCCGGAAGCTTCGAGTGCCAGTGCAAAGAGGGTTTCGAAAGCTCAGTCATGATGAAAGTCTGCATGGGTAGGTTTCTATGCGTAGTCTCTAAAATAAACACCATCATATTGAAATTAAATTCCGGTCCTTTTTCAAAATATTTCATTCTTGGGTGTTTGATTCTTATATAATGGTTTAGTAAGATGATAGATTTCTTCACATGAAGGATTACTGTAAAGCAAATTAAAGTTTTTGTCGAAATCTTAGAAAGAGCTATGTTTGAATGGATGAGGGTACAATGTGAATTAATCTACAATCGTTTACTTAGTTTTTAACTACATTTTTGCAATTATCATCAAGATCTGTAAGTTCACAATGCCGTTATTCAAATCATGTGGTCTACTAAATGAAAGGTGGATGAAGGCAACATGTAGGCTAAACCAAACGTAATAGGGTATCACAAATCGGACCGAGCTTTCCGTATAAGCAAACTGTTTACGTTTAAATATGAAAACACAAAACTATGCATATAGTTACTTACTAAAAACTTAGATCACACGTGTATTAATAAGATATTTTTGGCCTTCGAAGGTATAGTGGATTATATTGACCGACTCCAACATAATTTATAAAAAAGGGTTACTTCAAACCTCACCTCACATAAAACTAAAAACTAAAAAACTACCAATAAAACAAAAACTAATTAAATCTCATTTAAACGCATATATAAATATAAATTTATTCAAAATTTGTATGTTCTTTTAATTTTTGTACCGGGAGTAATTAATTTACAATTAATTTTTTGTTCCAAATAAAAATGGCAATGATTGTGGCAGGATGTCAACAAAATGTCTTAAAAAATTAGTGTAGCTAATAGATCATCTTAGAAAGGACTGAATTGGATGGTTCGATTTAAAATATTAAAAGGCAAAAATTTTTCAAGCACTTGAGTCCTGAAAGCTGACCGTAAGGGACGTATACCTATATATAATAGTTTAGTACCATCAATTATGGTTGTAATGCCGGGCTCCGACATGTTAAAGAAAATAAATCTTCTCCATACCTTCCAAAACAGTGGACTCAGCCTAGCTAAGCAAAAGTTTAAACGTATCCAACCCTAATGAGATAATTATTATATCTGATTCCACGTCCCTGTTGCTGGCCTTTAAAAACTTTTATAAGTAATCCAATAGCGCAAGACATACTATTTTTTACTAATGCGCCTATTACGAGAAAGTATGGTTTTCGATTTTTTTAGTTATCCGATATAAAGGGAAACGAGTTAGCTGACACATCTGTCAAAGTGGCAGCATACCATGAACATACATTAGCAATCAATCAGCAAAACATAGTAACATTTTTTAAATGCTACATTTTTATAAGGCAATTTCGAGTTCAGAACCGCTAGCGTGGCAAATACGAGTCGGATGCATTAACCACTCCGCAACCACGGTTCGCTTAAACGACAACTATATCAATATGATAAAACTATCCAAATTTGGAAAGGAAAAAAGAAACAAGAAAGAATAAAAGAAATAAGTCAATAAATCAAGTAAATAATCAGTCATAAATGTATGTACTAACAAGTGAAAGGTACATATTGAAATGACTAAGGATCGACCCTAAAAAAATAATATTTTAATATTTTTGACTTTTATAAGAGGTATACATACACCCACACACACCCCACCTTTTAAGACATTTCGAGATTTTTTGTCATAATTATTGTCATTTTTATTTTAAATAAAAACCTATCCTAATGGTTCTCACTTTTGCAATATATAAATCAGCAAAATATCATCGCGCTATGGAAGGTCAAATATAAGACGAAAGCTTTGGAAATTGATAAATATCTCATAGATGACTGACCACACCCCAATAAACTGCCCATCCTCAATTAAAAATTTACTGATCATTAACATCTCTGTCAAATTCGAAAATAAGCAAATGAATAGACTTGTTTACAAAAACCTAACCATTGTTTAGGTATTATTTAATAGTAACTGTTTTATTTTATCATATCACACTTTTTGGTTTTTATTTGCCAATTTTTGCAGTTCGTTCCAAAGGCTTGCAAAAGGGCAATTCAAAACAGAAACTAAACTTAAACAGTTTGTATACCAAAGTATAAATAGACATCTAACGAAGCGCGCTCCTTTTGAACTTAAACCTGACCCAATTATTTAAGACACACTAAATTCGAAAGAGCAATCGTAACGCTAAGAGGGTTTTTTTCTTAATTAAAATCAGCCTTTTCAACGTCGTCGGGTCCACTTTTTGATAAATCGGAATTGGAGATTTTTATTATTTATTTGTTAATAAACTTTTAAATCGGTGTCGGCCCGTGGAAAAGGTTCCGGTCGTAAACCGTAACGGTGAGATACCCCACGATAATCCTTATAATTTCATGAAACGGCGTCGGAGAAATTTCCGGCTTATTTAGGACTTTTTTTGTCCCAACGCCTTCTAATTTAACCTAACGCACTTATCTTCCCTAGAATAATGCCTGATAAAGCCACTAATTCAATACCGGCGAGAAGCAAAGTGAGGGTCTTTCCCTCTTTTTTCTATAAAGGTAGTAAAGCTTTAGAAAGTCGAAGTGAATCTACGCAAAGGAGTAATTTTTATCTCGCTCCGGAAACAATTTTCAAATACTTTAAATGGAAAAATTGGTCAATTTGTTGATATAAAAACAAAAAACCTTTAAAATTAGATCTATCTGATTTAAAAATTTATCTACTATATTTTATTTTGACATGAAATGGGTGGGGGGGTCCTTATCCACACACACGTTGCCGTAATTTATATGTAAGTGATGGGAATAGAATAATAAACATAATTTATAATTTTTTACAATGGAATTGGTAAGTTTAGTAGTATAGTAGTTATAAGGAATGTAGGCACTTTCCAAGGTATGACTATAAGCTGTAGGGCTTCCACGATAGACCTGTTTAGGAGTGGAGGAATGATTTGTATTCTGCATCAACACCCCCAAAAACCCTTTAAAAAAAGTATAGTAGACAACTATTTATGTCCAAACTATGTCATGCTAAAATTTAGTCAGCAAGATTAACGCATACATTTTATAACTTTTTTACTCAAACTTACTGGTAAATTTGAATTTTTTTATTAAATAATTCATAATTGATAATTAACCAGACATCAACGAGTGTGAGACAATCCCAGGACTTTGCAAAGGCGGTGTCTGCAGAAACACGCCAGGGAGTTTCAAGTGCGTCTGCCCACCTGGGCACGAATTGTCCCCCGACAAACGATACTGCAAAGGTAAAAAAAACCCGCTATGTTCTCTGTGAAGATTTTTAGAACTTCTTTTTTCAAAGATATCGACGAATGTTCGAGAACAAGCGGGATTTGCTCGAACGGAGTCTGTGAAAATATGATGGGCACGTACCAGTGCGTCTGCGACGACGGGTACGAACACGCGGGCATCACGTCTCACTGCGAGGGTAATTTTTAATTAAGATATTCAATGTTTTTTAAAAATTCTCTCATATACATTTTTTTAAAGATATTGACGAATGCGCTAATTATAATGGAGGTTGTTCTTCAATCTGTCAGAATGCTCCTGGAAGCTTTAGCTGCACCTGCCAGTGAGTTTTGAATTATTTTTTTAATCATTAAAATTGTTGAATTTAAATGTTTAGGAAAATTATATTTACTTGATATAACATTTATCTAGTTCGAGAAAGTTTACAGTTGTTTATTTCTCATAAGACATTCAAAAATTCTAAACACTATTTTCTACCAATAGAAAGAAAATTATTTTTAAGAATGTTTAATTTAATGAATCAAGAAGTTAGAAATTTTCATCATTAGTGTAATCAATAAATAAGTATCATGTAGTCTCCTGATGGGGACTGAATGGTATGAGGGATGAGTCATGTGAAATTTTTCCAGGGATGGCTTTGTATTGAAAAACGATGGAAGAACTTGTGTTGATATCGATGAATGTGCTGAAAACTCTAGGATATGCAACGGCGGAAAGTGCACAAACACGATTGGAAGTTTTAAATGCGACTGCATAAAAGGTTTACTCCCTGGCCCCGAGGGATCATCCTGTGTTGGTACAAACGACATTATTTTTTACCTCTAGTTAAATTATAGATTTCAATGCTAAGAAGAATATTTTGTGGCGTTTTCGCTTTAGACATAAACGAATGCGAGGACCACCCGAACATATGCGGTAACGGTGACTGCGACAATACCATCGGGTCTTTCAGATGCCACTGCGAGGTTGGCTACTCCGCAAAACCCTATGCAGGTCCTTATTGTACCGACGATGATGAATGTTACTTAATGACGCATAATTGTGATATGAATGCTGATTGTATTAACAATCCCGTAGGTAACAATGCAGTCATTATATAAAAGAAGATTTATAACTGCTGTGGCGTTTAATAACTGGAAAATCGGATTGCTAACAATAGTAAGTTTACAGGGGTCGTACATATGCAGGTGCCGAGATGGATTTATAGGAGACGGCATCAACTGCGTAGACATCAACGAATGCTCGACAAACAACGGCGGATGCAGTCAAAACGCCAAATGCAGAAACACAGAAGGCTCTTTCGACTGCGAGTGCGAAGAGGGCTTCAGGGGCGACGGTTTCTCATGCGTAGACATAGACGAATGCTCGGAACATCCGATGTACTGCGAAAACGGACACTGCCTCAACCAACCAGGCAGCTACAAATGCGAGTGCGAAATGGGTTTCATGCACCCTGACTACAATGGCAAGGCGTGCATAGGTATGAAAAGCACTTTTCAACAGAAATTGAAAAATTATTCATGCCCTTTTGTCAAAGTTGAATTATTTTTATCTATTGAATGGAAAGATCTTTCTATGAATATGAAATGGGAAATACTGTTTTAAACCTCAAAGGATTGTTAAAGATTACAGTGATTCTTTATTCTATTTTTGCATTCAGTAGTATGTTATTTCATTTATTTTCCTGATTTAATAATTTATTTTAAATATTTATTTAAAATATCTTCTTTGAAGTGAATGATGATATGGAAAGCAGAGAACGAAGGGCTAATGCCACTTGTTAACTCTTATATACAATTATCCAAAAAAGAATTGTAAACAATAATGTCATCATTTTATAAGTTTAGATATGAATGAGTGCAACATGTTCAACAACATCTGCATGTTCGGTCAATGTGAAAACATATTTGGAATGTTCAAATGCAACTGTGATGAAGGATACACACTAGGAAATAGAGGAGGTACGAAATAACACTTTGTTATATACAATTTTAAACTGAAAGATTAACTTGCAGATAATTGTACTGATATTAATGAATGTGAAAATCCTGGAGCTTGTCGTTTTGGAACCTGTGAAAATACAAATGGCAGTTACTTATGCAACTGTCCTCCCAATCACCAGTTAACACCTTCAAAAGATGGATGTGTCGGTAAGTTATTCATGCTATAAAAATGTTTTGAGACTTAAATAATAATTCATTTGAAGACAAAAGAGAATCGAGATGCTATCAGCAAGTCGATGGTGGCACTTATGGCAAACCAACCTGTACCAAAGACATGGGCCAGATTGTGACAAAAGCAACCTGTTGCTGTTCCATTGGAAAAGGATGGGGACCTAATTGTGAACTTTGCCCTACAGTGAATTCACCTGCCTATAGAGATCTCTGTCCTGGTGGCTCAGGCTATCGCCCAAATTTAGTGACTGTTAGAATTATCTCAATATTATCCAAACTGAAATCACCGAGTCAATTATTTATTTTAGGTAGACATAGAAGATATTAATGAATGTGACGAGCATCCAAGAATTTGTCAAAATGGACACTGCACAAATTCTTTTGGGAGTTTTATCTGCTCATGCAATGATGGTTTTAGACTTGATGAAACCACTGCAACCTGCTTAGGTTCGCATAATCAATTATTTTTCATAAAAAAATTAATTACCAATTTAATAATAAATTACATATTTTTAGATATCGATGAATGTAATGAAACACCTAATATATGCGGTGCTGGATACTGTGTCAACGATGATGGAACGTTTCATTGCATCTGCCCTGATGGTTATATGCTTCTACCCAACGGAAGTTAGTAGTCGGCTAATAACTACTCTTATATTCAGTTTAATAAAACTTCCAAATTTCAGAGGAATGTGTTGATATGAGGAAAGAGTATTGCTACATGGAATATTCCCATGGAAAATGTGAGCATCCAATGTCCAACCAGCAGACAAAAATGGTATGTTGCTGCTCAATGGGTCAGGCTTGGGGTCACCCTTGCAAACCATGTCCAGTGCCAAAAAGCCGTAGGTTGAATTTTTTTGATAAAACAAAACATTTAAAAAATCTGTAACTTGATCCTTACTTGTCGTTTTGGTTTGCCTACCCTCACTGTGTAAGTTTGACATGATAGACAGTCCAAAAAGATCGGTAAGGATCAGATTACAGGTTCCTTACACCACAGACCAGGAAATCTCTTAACAAAATAATATGTTTAATTGTATTTAATAGGAGAATATATAGAACTTTGTGGGACTCAACCTGGACAGATCATAAACCCAATGACAAACCAGACAGAAGAAATTGATGAATGTAAACTTATGCCAACCATGTGTAAACACGGAGATTGCATGAACACACCAGGAAGTTTTGAATGTGACTGTAACAACGGATTTTCTTACGATATTAACTCGCATCAGTGTGTTGGTAATAAAAAAACATAATTTCTTCATTGAGATGCAGTGTTTTGTATGTTTTTGAATTTCAGATGAAAATGAATGCTTAAGATCACCTAGTCCATGCAGAGGCAATGCACAGTGTGTAAATTCACAAGGTAGCTATGAATGCCAGTGCCCTGATGGATATAAATTAGGTGTCTCTTTGAGGGATTGCATAGGTACTACATTATAATTATTCTAGAGTGTGAATCATGATAATTATCAAATATTGTTTCTAGATATTGATGAATGCATTGAAAGGCCAGAAATTTGTGGACATGGAACTTGTAACAACTTCCAAGGCAGTTTCCAATGTGTTTGTTACAGTGGTTACACACTGACACCGTCCCGCTCCAACTGTGTGGATATAGACGAATGCATTCGCCACCCGAATATCTGTAACAACGGCACTTGTTCAAATTCCAAAGGGTCTTACACATGCCACTGCCATCAAGGTTTTAAGCTAAGCCATAACAATGACTGCATCGGTAAGATCATAAAAGTAAATTTATTATCGGTATTTTCTAATGTATGCAATAATTCCAGATATTGATGAGTGCCATTCACAGCCTTATTTATGCCGAAATGGAAGATGCAAAAACACTATTGGATCTTTCAAATGTGAATGTACTGAAGGCCATGAACTTCAACCAGATGCCCAGCAATGTAGAGATGTAGATGAATGTAGAGAGGTAATATTTCAATTTTAATGAACTTTATTTATTTATTTTCTGAGTGTAATTCAACTATGAGGTTGTATGAACCCTCAGGGTGCCAGTGTTTTTGGAAAAAAAATTGTAAATTTTGTACCTTTACGTTACAGTGATTAGCACTGTCTCAATGCGTTAACCACTATGACCAGCAACACTTTTTTTTAAATGTGCTTAATTTTATACAGATGCCTGGAATATGTCCTCCTCCTGGGCGGTGCCAAAACACAATGGGCTCATTTTTCTGCACCTGCCCTCCTGGATATCATTTGTCACCGGATAAAAAATTGTGCTTGGACATTGATGAATGTGCTGAACGAAAGGGTGTCTGTGACGGAGGACGATGTATAAACACAGATGGAGGAGTGATTTGCGAATGCCCTCCTGGATTTATATTTTCAGAAGGCAGAATCAAATGCATCGACATACGCCAAGAGATGTGCTTTGAAAATCTTGAAAAAGGTACAGATTTTTAATTTAATTTTTTATTTATTTATGACAAGTTCTCATGAAAGAATGAACTACAGGAAGATGTACAAATCCAAGAATGGAGCCGCTTACGATTAAAGAGTGTTGCTGTTCTATGGGCATGGCCTGGGGTCGCCATTGTGAAAGGTGTCCGGTTGAAGGAAGCGATGAATTTCTGAAACTTTGCCCGCAAGGGATTGGAAGAAAGGAAAGTGGAGAAGATTTGAACGAGTGTCACATCATGCCTAACGCTTGTGGATCAGGAGATTGCATAAATACAGATGGCTCTTACAGATGCACATGTCCACCTGGTTATGTTTTAGACAGCAATGGAAAGAATTGCATAGGTATGTGAAAACTTTTTTTAAAACTAAATAAAATTCAAAACTGTTATTTTATTTAGATGATTGGCTGGGAAAAAAATGTTTAAATTTTTCATTATTAAGAACATTTGGGCTCAACTGCTAATCTTCAGCAGACCTGACAAATTCACAGAAAAACAGAACAACTAATTCATCTACAAATGTGTATTCAAAGAGTAAATATTATTGGAAGATCAACACTCAAAAAGCTGTCCAACATCTAACTGTCAATTTATTTAAAAATGATGTAATTACCAAAATGGGTTACTCCCGATATTCCCTCTCCGTTGATTGGTCAGGACTGCTGAAGATTGGTTGTTGAGCCATAACAAAAAAATTTAACACCTTGGAACACTTAGTTTTATTTCCCATCAGCTATCTAAATTATCAACACTGAGGATTGTAAAAGAAATGTTATTTTAATTTGTTTTGTGCTTAGATGAAAATGAGTGTGAAACTTCTTCGAGCATGTGTGGGAATGGTACATGTACTAATATAGAAGGTAGTTTTGAGTGTTCTTGCAATCATGGATTTGCACCTGGACCTATGCAGGTTTGACATATTTTCCCAACATTTAACACAATAGACAACAGAATATTTTATATTTTTCATTGTAGACCTGTGAGGACATCAACGAATGCCAGGAAATGAGTAACCAATGTGCATTTAGATGTCATAATGTCCCTGGTTCCTTTAGATGTATTTGTCCATATGGTTATATGTTAGCTCCTGATGGTAGACATTGCCAAGGTATGAGGTTTTAAAAATTTAAATTGGATTTTGCCAAATTTAAAAACCCTCATTTTAAATTTTAGATGTGGATGAATGTAGCACACCTGCAAATAACTGCAAATTTAAGTGCAAGAATCAAATAGGGTCCTTTATTTGTATTTGTCCTGAAGGATATACACAGATTCCTCTTACAGACGATTGTAAAGATATTGATGAGTGCCAGAAGCCAGGAGTTTGTGACAATGGCTATTGTGAAAATTTAGAAGGGTCTTTCAGGTGTACATGCTTCCCAGGATTCAAGCCCAACTACGATTTCACAAAATGCATTGATGAAAGGCAGGGTGTATGCTACAGGCAATTGTCCGCTAATGGCAAATGCACGATGCACACCGACGTAAAACACAAAGCTACTAAAGCAGACTGTTGTTGCACAATGGGCGCAGCTTGGGGGCCAACCTGTGAACGCTGCCCTCAACCAGGATCTGATGAGTATACGAATTTATGCATGGAAAGTGGAATCAGCATTGACGGACAAGGTATATTATGCAGTTATGTATTTAATTTAAATACCAGCAATTTTTTAAAATTAATTTTTTTTAAAATAGATATTGATGAGTGTCGAACTATTCCTGATTTGTGTAAACATGGCACTTGCATCAACACTTTAGGATCATACAAATGCATGTGCCATAAAGGATTTAAAGCAGATCATTCTGGCACAGTTTGTAGAGGTTAGTTTTCTATTGACAACCAGAATATATTTATCTGAACTAAATTAACTTTTTAGATGTTAACGAATGCCATAATTCACCATCTCCATGTCAACATTCATGTCAGAATACTCAAGGGAGTTATCTGTGCTCTTGTCCAAAAGGCTATGAATTAGGGCCTGATGGTTCATCATGTCATGATATAGATGAGTGCAAAACTGGTATTCACATTTGTCAGCAAAACTGCATCAACACTCCTGGCAGTTACCAATGCTCTTGTGCCGAAGGCTATAGGCAAGAAGGCGATTACTGCTTAGGTATATAACTGATTCATTCTGCAATATCCAAAAGTTCATTTTGCACTTGTACTTGTTTAGATATCGATGAATGTAAAAACAGTGCTGTTTGTCATGCTCCTGGAAAATGTATTAACACTTTGGGTAGCTACAGATGCCTTTGTCCAAAGGGATTTAAGCTTGATTCAACTGGATCATTCTGCAGAGACGCAGATGAATGCCAGGATGATAGCAAATGTGAACATGGCTGCCAGGTAAATTGTTACATCTAATTTAAAGTTGATGGTGGGGGTTGTCTGTGAATTGGTGAACACATGTTGAACCAACACTGGTCATTTAGATGGTCAGTCTACACTCCCTTTTTTATTGTACTCAAATTCATTATGGCTTTGTGCCATCTTCAGTGAGGAATTTTAGGTCTTTTTGCTGGATGACTGGTAATAAGTGTCGAAAATTTCAAAGGTGTTTCTACTCACCATATGCAACAAAAAACTTCCTATAAACCCCTGTCCAAATCTCAATCATGAAGTAATTTCAAGTTTTGGGGTTTTTATTTTTTATTTTTTGACTTAGGCCCATTAAATTGCTTGTAAACTTCAGAATTACTGACTTTAGAAAAATCTGCTGTAAGAAAATTTATTTAAATTGTGTGAATTGATAACAAATTTCTGCACAAAAACTATAGAAAAAACAAAAATATTGATATTTCGAATTTTTTGAAAATGTTGGATTGGTAACTGTTAATAGCCTGAGGTTTGCAAATTCCTTTAAAAGTTCTCCATTCAACTAGCATCCACCTGTATATCCACATTTTTGATTGCACTTCTGGAAGGCCAAAATTTTTCTTTTTATTGAAAAAAAAACTAATGTCGAAGGGGGTTGAGGGGTTGGGAATAGTGGCCTCCTCCTTGGCTTAAGTCCTAAGTCAAAAAACCAAAACCCGAAATTACTTCTTTATCATTGAGATTTGAGCAGGGGTTTATAGGATGTTTTGTGTTGCATATGGTAAGAAAAACCACCTCTGAAATTTTTCACACTTATCACCGGACACCGTGTATATCAAACTAATTCCTAACTGAACATGGTGTAAAGCCAAAACCATTTGAGTAACTTCAAAAGCCGGCAAGTGTAGACCCAGTGCTAGTTCAACATCTAATTTAAATGTACCTATTTTCATTGGTCAATATATAGTTTTAAGCAAACTATAATGGTTTTGTTATATTCATCTAAATGATAAATAACATATAGTACACATTTTTTATATTTTTCCCTTGGTCTTTTATTTTTTAGAACATCTTTGGAAGCTATAGATGTAGCTGCCCTAAAGGGTTTTACAAGCATATGTACTACAACCACTGCATTGATGAAAATGAATGCCTTAAGTCACCATGTGGGACATCAAAATGTTTCAACACTATCGGCAGTTATAAATGTGGTTGCTCTGAAGGTTTTCAATTTGATCAATCTATTTCCTTGTGTGTTCAGGTAATCAACTTGAACATTATTTTCTGAATTTTTGCGATAGTTTGAGGTAAACGCATACTAGAAATGATTTCATTTCAACAGTTGAGCCCTGCTTGCGCTGATGCTCAATGTGCTTTTGGTTGCTTCCCTGGTCACCAGGGTGGATATTCATGTGGCTGTCCAACTGGATTCCAACAAGTTGGCCAAGTAATATTATAAAATTCTGTTAAGTTTAATTATATAATTTACTAAATTTGACTTTTTGTAAAGGGGCACTGCATGCAAACAATCAATTCAGGACCTAATTTCAGCCCCCAGGGTTTTCAAAAGCATTATTCACAAGATCCATACAGAGTATCTCCCGATAAAGTAATTTCAACAGAGGGCTGCTTCTCTTGCAAGGTATCTGATACAAATAGATCTCAATCTGTTTAAAATACTAACCATTTTAAAATTAATTTTAGACTAATGGGCGGCATAGAAGAACCACAAATACGACTAATGTTCAAAAGGAACGTCATTACTATAGACATGTGATGTCTAGAAGAACTAAGGTGAATATTTATTGTCTTTTATGTTAGAATTATAAGCTAATAAATACTATATCAATTTTTAGAATGGTCCAAGGCCTAAGCGTCACCACATGAGCAATTCTATCAAAGGAAGTGCAGGTTACAAAAATGGACAAAATATTAAATGGATCCATGAGGCTACTGTGGTTACGATCAATCTCTCACAGACAAAGCACCGGATGAAAATAATCAAGTTGATTCCTGCTGTAGAGGTACGCATGCATATTAATGTATATATTTTTAGATAGATAAATGCCTTTATTATTTTCTTATTTGTTTATATAATTTTGTTTTAAATTATTTACAAAGATAAAGACATGCATTGCCAAAGGTTGTGCGAACCGGTATATATTTTTAATTTTTGTTTTTAGAATGATTTTGAATATGAAATCACCCAAGGAAATGAAAAAGGAACTTTTGATTTGGTTAACAAACATGGGGTATGGGCACTGCATTTCAAAAAGAGATTAAAACAACCAACCACATTCTATTTGGAAATAACAGGGAAGCCAAGAAATTCGATCCCCTTGGAAAATACAGAACAACCTTTAGTACTGCATATAAGACTTATAGTGTCATCCTAGGAAATGTGTTCATTATATTCAAAATGAAACTTTGAAACTGCCATATTTTTGTATAGATTAATATGTACAAATAGGTTTGTGTATAATCCTTTTCTTTGTGTTTGTTGTAAATGAAATAATAAATATAAAAATGAAACGAAAATAATCAAAATTGTACAAATCCGTCAGTCATGGTGTACTAAGTAATTGATTTAATAGATGTGGAGGCTTGCTAAGTCAATTTTTTAGCCATGATAATTTTTTTGTAAAATATTGATGTTTATAAAATAAATTTTTTGTAAAGTATTTCTAACATGAGTGTTACAGCAAACTCTCCTTTTATCCTTTCTAAATTTTTCTCGTAATTAAAGCAAAAGTGAATTCAACATATGATCAAATATATTACAAACAAAATATTTTATTAGCACACAAAATTTTACATTTGTCTAAACAACACAACTCTAACAAATTCACATATTGGTTCACATTTTATTCACACGTGCAACACAACACTCTGAGGATGTGCACCTGGTATGAATACGAACTCCCTGAGTACACTGCTTGCACCATAAAAACCAAGGCAGTTGGCAAAGACGAATGTACCAGAATTCCGGCTCGCATCCTTGGTCTGGAGAAACCCAAGTCGGCCTTAAAGCAGAAGTACTTTATCGAGAGTTACATTCAGAGCATCATCGAATCAGCTCCAATGAAAAAAACCTCAATCGCCATTGGAGGGAACGGTGACCAAATTTCACAATTCATTGGTGAAAAGGCAGTCCAAGTGTGTGCAGCAAATGAGGTTGTTCTTAATTTTTCATCTTGAGTGAAATAATTGAATTTTGTAAAATTTAAGATATCTACTGAATGAATTCTGGCTTGTAAATTGTGGCTTGATATAAATGTAAAACAAAATTTGATTTTTACATATGATTTTTAAAACAAAATTATATGTAAAATAGTTCCAGGTGCCTTTTAAACTAACACTTACTACTGTTAAAAAATAGTTATTAGTCATATACACCTAGATAGCTTAAAAACGCAGCACGTTTCTTCTCAATATAATAATAGGATGGCTTGCTATGAGTTGCAAAAAAACAAAAGGGCAAATCTAAACTGAATATAGAGATCAATAATATTTATTGACCATCCACCATATTACATGGTAATTGTGCTTCATATATTACAAAGGGGATCTTCCATTTTCTTCCATCTTCTACAGGACCTACCTATCTTCCATTCTACCCTTCATAGGACCACTGCGCCCTAAACACTTTTAATCGGTTGCCTGTTTAGTTGGTAGTTTAATTCACTATTGGTTCCTACGGGAGTACGCACACACAAGCACTTCTAGTCGGTCAATACCTGCCTGACTAACTTGTTGCCTGATTGCCTTTCAACTATAAAGTCGTCCAACTATTGGCCGCCCATTTATACTGTACTAGCTTTATAACCCAGCATTGCGCAGGGGGGATAATAAAAAGTGTGATTTAACAACCCATATATTACTGTTGTTTAGATAACGTTTTTTATCTAATGTCTTGATTGAGATGATAAATTTAGAGCGGGATACAAACCCACGACCTTCGGCTCAATATCGCTGCTTTAACCTAACCCTAACCATTTAATTTAAACTGACTGAGGTCGGTAAAACAATGTTTACATAATTTATAATTGTTCATGTACACATACCTCTCAAACAAAATCGGTAGTGTGTGTAGTCTACTGTACACTAAATAAAGTTCACTTGGAGCACTTTTCTCAATTCTAATGGTTTGGCGGTCAGGCCTCAGCCGGTAGTTCGTACTCCTACCTACATCACTGCTGCCTACAGTAAAGATACAAAGTGTAGTTTATATCATCCTATCTTTTCTTAAGCGAAATCAATTCTGAATTTTTTGCGGCTATAATGTATTTAGTCATTTTTGCGTCTTTTGACTATTAGCGCCTTCAAATCGGAGTTTGAAAAACTCGGGAAACATGTAATTATTTATTATACATACGGGGGAAAACCCCATAAAAATAGTTAGGTTTACACTATGTATACTTTTTTGATATTGACACAAGGTCACGTACTTTTTAGCCAAAGCCCGGCTAGGTAGATAGGTAGAGACTTGTTAATGTTCAACGATCATTTATCGTCTTAAAGTATTAGAACGTTGAATCAATCATGCATTAATACCTAGGATGTTCACTAACCTGAATACCAACAGAGAGAATTGACTTACACTTTGTAAATCCCTCCCTCTGAAGGTAACGATGTTGTTGTTCATGTACACATACTTGTAAAACAAAATCAGTTTTTATAGTCTTTAACTTTGTACACTAAATAAAGTTCACTTTGAGCACTTTTCTCAATTCTGACGTTTTGGCGGCCAGGCCTCAGCCGGTAGTTCGTCCTCCTACCTAAATCACTGCTGCCTATAGTAAAGGCACAAAGGTGTAGTTTGTATCTTCGTAACTTTTCATCAGCGAAACCAATTCGGCAGTTTTTGCGACTATAATGTATCAGCAGTTTTTTTGCAACTATAACCTATTTAGTAATTTTTGAGTCTTTTGACTGTAAGCGCCTCCAAATCGGAATTGAAAAAAACGCGGGAAACATTTATTTAGTGGCTAAAGGGGAAAACCCCATACAAATAGTCAGATTTATACTGTTTACTTTTTAAGATTGATACAAGGTAACTTACTTTTTGGCCAACGCTCGCGTATGTTGATAGGTATACGTCTTATAATATTAGAACATTGAATAATAATGCATTAATACCTAGCATGCTCACTAACCTGACTACCAACAGAGAGAGTTGACATACACTTTGTAAATCTCCCCTCTGAAGGTAACGATGTTGTTGTTGTTGTTGTTCATGTATACCGGTAAAACAAAATCAGTTTTTGAAGTCTTTATCTTCGTACACTAAATAATTTCACTTGGAGCACTTTTCTCAATTCTGATGATTTGGCTGTGCAGAACGGTCGGCCACATGGCGGTAGTCCGTTCTCTTATCTGCACAACTGCTGCCTATAGTAAAGGTGCAAAGGTGTAGTTTTTATCTTCCTCTCTTCACATCAGCGAAACAAATTCTGTAGTTTTGGAGACTATAATGAATCAGTAATTTTTTGCAACTATAACCGATCAGTAATTTTGGCGACTGCAGAGTTTTAGCGTAGCTTTTGCTTCTATTGATTGTTAGCGCCTCCAAATTGAAATTTGAAAGACGCGGTAATCGTGTAATTATAGTAAAATATTATTATTTTGTAAAATCTGACGTACCTTATTTGTAATACATGCCCTTTTTAAAGGCCCTAAACACTTCCCGGACTAGTAAGAACAACCTGTGAAATTTTCAGCGAAAACGGTAGTTTTTTTATTTTCTGATATTTTCATCAAAATTGGTTAAAAATTTCTTTTAAAAAAATGCGTCAATAATATTACAGAGTCAATATTTATAGAAGGATGTATCTTATGTTGTCTGATATCTAGCTGTTTTCAGTGAAATATGACTACTTTCTCACTCACGAACATTCTGGATCAAGGCATGGTCTTTAAAAAAAAGCAAATTCAGTTATTACTGCGAAACTTTCGTCCTATTTTAAAGCCATCATCAGGGAAAAACAATATGTCTACAGAAATTTAAGCTTGTTTTGCGTGGATGATAACGTTTAAAAAGGTCAAAAACTTGGCAGTAACAAGTGAAATTGCTTTCTTCTTCCAGACCATACCTTGATCCAGAGTGTTCGTTTGTTAAATATTACGGCCAGAGTTTGCTTGTGTCAGAAAAAAATGCTACGGACTTATTTTACCAGTCAATACTAATTCGGAACACATCATAAATATGTGGCAATAATTCATTTGCCACCATGAAAATTGTGAAGCAGTTATGAACATTCTTACTTAGATGACATATTGTAGAACTCAAAAGTTACTGAAGAAATGTAGATTAAAATTGGATAAACACCAATAAAGTAATGCTTTTAATCATATGATTATCCATTGTTTAAGCCCGGTTTTAGACAAAATTTAATAAAAATTAAGGTAAAATTTTGTTTGAATATCAAACTATAAATAAGAGTGTAGAAATATTAGGTGCATGACATATTTTCTGTTCATACATCACAATCGGTTTGTGTCATCATTTGTCTTTTCTGAAAAGCCCTTCCTCAAATCAAAACAAATCAAAAGAGTTTTATTTTATTTGAGCTTAGTACCTTTAAAACTTTAAACTAAATAAGTAAAAATAGATATTAAATTATTATTTTTCTACCCCTTTTAAAAATGTTTTACCTAATAGAAAAAGTTCTCGGCCACATTTGGTTTAACCTTAGATATTACTTTTGACGCAAAACGTTTTCCAGATTTCAAACATTTACATTGGAACTAATAATTTATTCATACTACCTGCAATATCAAGATTTATCCGGGAAAATAAGTTAGAAGGTGGAATATACGTTTATGTAGCTCGTAACTATACCAATCGAAAAAAGGTCAATGTAGGCATCAGATTCCTCGGCACTAATGGAGGTAATGCTGGTATAAATTTGGTCCATAAAGATAAATCATTGTATGCTCTTTATATTAGGTGTTCCATCGGAAAAAATAATGAAAAAAACTCTGGACACTTTTAAGACACTAACTTCACATAAGAAAATAAATGTTAATTTTCCGCTCTCTGAAGTTGAGAATTATTCATTCAGAGTAATACAGTCAGTAGATAGAGCCAGGGTGAGTTATCAATTTAACAAAAACATTACATCCCAAAATATATAGAAAATTATTTTCTTAAGCCGCCTTCAACAGTGACGGTGCACATTATTGATGGGAAAAAGGACTACATAAGATTTTTGAAAGAGTCGTTTGACTTTCCAAGAATAAAGAGTTTAATCACTGGAGGCAGGATCGAAAAGCGATTTGATCTTGTAGTCGACTGTAAAGAAGGAGGTGAAGCCAAACCGACCGATCAAAATTTTTAACTGGTTGACAACTATTAAATTTCAGGCGCTGGTCCCTACTTAGAGGAAATTTTGGTCAATGAGCTCGGAGCGAAAAAAAGCTGTATTAAAAACGGCGTACCATCCTCATGCTTCCACAAGAAGTACTTCGGCCCGGAAGTCGAGTACAATCTGCAAATGATAAACGAGCTGGTTCTTCGAGAACAAGACATGGGCGTCATAATAGACGGCAACGGTGTAAGTTTTCACATACTTAAACTCAAATTTCATCGGGATTATATCATTTATTTTATTTTTCTCAGGCAAGATCGGCATTTTTTGCAAAAGGCGGTCATTTCGTATCCCACGGAGACACGTTTGCCCTGCTTGTCGACCATTACCATTGCATACCTCTCTTCCAAAAAAAAATCGTTAAAGGTATCGCGAGGACTGTCTATGCGTCTAAATCCGTTGATCCGTAAGCATGTTGAAATGCTCGTTTAAAACATTACCAATAATTTTTTTTTGTTTTTAAGTGTTATCCTGAAATTGGGACTTAGCTTGTATGAAACGGCTGATGGTTGGCGGTACTTCAACTCCTTACTGGAACACCAGTTGATTTCATTATGCGCCGATGACGATTTCGGGTAAAAATATTATACTTCCCCACTTTAAATATTTTGTAAGTTTTTCCATGTGGTATGCGGAGTGATGGACCTGTAATAAAATCATCATTGTTGACTTTCAATTGCAGTGTTTCGCCTGGATGATTTGTTTCAAGTCAAATTTCTTTTGTTAAGTCGTGTGAGGTGTGGGGGTGAGTGAAAAAACAAAATCGGCAGACCCCTACGACAATACATTGACAAAATCAACCCACTAGACATAACTATAACATGCGTATGACGAGTCAAATATATTGGACAGACATCTAACAATCCCTAACCATCCCTCGCTCAAACAAAAAACCAGAAGCATTTCAAAAAGCTTTAAATTTTTTTTAAACAAATACGCACATCAAAAATAAACATATATACATATATGGGCAAATTAACATATTACAATGAACAAATCAATTGACGAGAAATGCGCGTTGAAACACATGGAAATAAATTCTGGGATCAAAGACGTTTCATGACAATTTTAAACAGCCATTTGCATCAAATATATAAACACACACGCACACACACACACACACACACACACACACACACACACACACACACACACACACACACTCAAATAAGAAACGTATACATACAAACCAACGATCACAAATATGCCTTTCTTTTTCTCTCTCTTCCTCCCTCTTCCTTTCTTTCTCATTCCCCCTCGCACATCAAATAGTACATTAGAAGACGTCTCTTTCCAAACTGTGTCGACGTGTCAAGGTATAATGGAATTGTAACCAAAGGGAAAACCGATGTAATAACAGCATAATAACATTATATATATGTAAATAGATATAGATAGAAAGAGGAGAGAGGCGAGAGAAGAGAGGAGAGAGAGAGAGAGAGAGAGAGAGAGAGAGAGAGAGAGAGAGAGAGATGTGATAGTTGGTTTGGAGGAATGCGCTTCATATTTAACTATGTGCTACTATGTATGTGTGTGTTTATATTGAGAGAAATGCATAATTTGAAAATGACTAAACTCGTTCTTCACTCCACAGCCCCCATCAGTCTTCAGCACACTAATTATTCAAGTATTATTCCATAAAATAGCGTTCTCTCTATTTCTACGATAAGAAGTATTTATTGTTGAATAAATTTACCATCAAAAATGAAAATAGCAGCATTGTCGTTTCTATTAATTTCCTTCTGTTCATCTTCTCTGTTTTGTAAATGATGATTACTGAGTATATCTTCACGGAGCCGAAGGTTAAAGTGATTATACAAATCTAATTTAAATGACTGAGATTATTTAAGTTCATTCGTTGATATTTGTGTAATTTGTAAGGTCTAGGATCATCCTGGCCTGGTTATCCTCGGTGGTTTGGTTTTTCAGATTCATTTTTAATTTTACAAGTGTATAAAAAAGACACGTCAAAGTAATACACTAAACCATAATTGTAATCTGACTGACTAAAATCATCATAAACGACCAACTACTCGTTCATCACCCCTCAGACCTCACAAAATTACCAAACATTTAAAATATTTAAACGACCATTACAGATTTTTGTTCACCTAATTAAACTTCGTTTTAGAATTGGTGCTTATCATATAGGAGAACGCGACGGAATCCTGCCTATTTTGGCCTGGCTTTCCATAATAGCACATCTAAGAAAACCCGTTAGGCAGATCCTCCAGCAGCACTGGGACGAGTACGGCAAGCTTTTCAGAACGACGTACGGAAAACCTTGCAATAAAGAAATAAAAGAAAAAGAATAACATCTTACACGCTTTATTTTGCAGGCTCATTTACGAAGATCTTTGCCCCAAGTTGACCAACGATACGATATCCAACGTCGAAAAACTCATGAAGGACGGTTGTTTCGTCGGCAAGGCTTTCCAAGTCGGCCACATGCGTGTCGAAGTCAAAAAGGCAGGCGGTTTCGATTACAAGCATCCTTTGACAAAAGCATCGACAAAAGAACAAGTATTTAACAGTACAAGTGTTAATATTTTAATGCATTTTTTCATTGATTTACCATTTCAGGCGATTGTAATAAATACGAAACTCGGGAGAGTCATATTGCGAGTGTTTACGTACATTGGAGGAGTAAGCGATTTACAAGTTATTATCGAATCGTTCTCGAACGGTGTAGCGTACTGTGTTGATAAAATAAGCATGGCTGTCCCTCTCACAAAGTTTATTATGCTCGCTACCAAATATCCAGCGATGATCAACAGGTCAGACCCGGATCGTATATTTTGATTTTGTAACAGTCTTATGAACAAAAATACACTTTACACAAAAAAATTGCGTTTATTTTGCATTGAACAGTCTTGTCTAAGGATTTCAAGGGGAATAAACGGAAAACCTACAGGGGTACTCGTGATGACAGGTCTGCGAAATCTTAGCGGCATCGTGATATTTTGGATGCATTGTCCAAAAATCTCTGTTTTCCAATCTGAAAATTTCAGATACAATCGTTTCCGTGAAAGTCAGTTTCTTCACTGGTCGGTTTTTAGTTTCACAAATTGCTCGCAAAACGCAAGACTCGCCTTGTCCGCTTTGCCTGAAAAAAAATCGTAAAAACTCGAGCACTAAAAATATACATATAAAATAATAAAATAGATGAGTAAACAAAACATTACTTGTCGACGAATTTCTCTATTTTTTTGAAAAGGTCTCTCCGGTCTTTGTCGTGCACTTTGCTCTTCCCGTTGTTGAAAATGTACTTTCGCACGTCCACGGGTATTTCCCAAGCGAGGCCCACTGTAAAACCGACGGTGAAAATCCCATCTTTTGTGCCATAGGTCGAAATTAGAAAACAATAAACCAACTGTAAAAAAGTAAAAAAATACATACAATCGATTAAAAAAGTAAATAATAAGTGGATAACAAATTATCATTTGTGTACAAGTAAGAAGAAGGAGTGAGGAAAAAACATATACAAAATAAAGTGTTAGATAGTAAAATAGATAAAGACAGATTTATATGTGTAAATATAGGGAGAGGGAGAGAGAGATTGATAGAGGGAGAGAGAGAGAGAGAGAGAGAGAGAGAGAGAAAGAGAGAGAGAGAGGAGAGATAGAGATAGATAGATAGATAGATAGATAGATAGATAGATTGAGAGAGAGAGAGAGAGAGAGAGAGAGAGAGAGAGAGAGAGAGAGAGAGAGAGAGAGAGAGATTAACGATTTATTAATTAAAATACACGCAAAAGTGAGATCTTTAGGAACTTTCGTACACTTAACGTGTAATTACAATTATCATATTTGTTTATAGTCGCAACGTACATAAAATAGAAATAACAAATTTTTATAAAATCAACAACTAAGTAAATGAACAAGATGAGAATAAGTTGAACTTATAATTTATATTTTTATACAGAGCGTATTATTGTTGAGTAACAAAATTAGATATATATTTTTCGTAAGATTCTTAAAAACGATAACATTTTCATCTTTTAGAATTGGAACATAATTTTAAGATTTAAAAATGAAATATACTAATAAAATGATTATTAACGTTATTAATTAATTAATTAATGTAGAGATTAGTGACCGTTAATCGATAGTTATTCAGATATCGTGAGATGCGGTCGGGTGTGATGTAGGTTTCAGAAAAACATTTTCTTTATCGTGCCAACGTTTCGATCTTTTATTGAGATCATCTTCAGGGCTCAAAGTGTTTGTCTTCTGTGTAATTGTGCCATCCTTGCGTGTCGTGGGCACTCTCAACACGACAAGCAAGGATGGCACAATTACACAGAAGACAAACACTTTGAGCCCTGAAGATGATCTCAATAAAAGATCGAAACGTTGGCACGATAAAGAAAATGTTTTTCTGAAACCTACATCACACCCGACCGCATCTCTCGATATCTGAATAACTATGATTATTAACGTTTTACCAGTTAATGTAAAAAGATATAATAAAAAAAGAGTATAATAAAAATAATAAATTTAAAGTACATGTTGACTGAGTAAATGATGTAATGTTAATTACGTAAAGATTAAATAAGGTAAATGCTAATTTGAGGTATTATATTCAACATATTTACATAATAAGAATTTTTTAAGTTTTACTTTGAATACTTTTTGCTTTTTATTTGTACTATATGTTTCGGCATTGAGTTAAAGATTTTTGAAGCTTTTATTTTGAATGAATTACTAAGGATTTTTGTTCTATGTTTTGGTAGAAGAATAAGTAATTAGCTGTTCTGTTATTAATGTTATGGATATTGCATTGAAATTTAAAACTATGAATACATGTAGGAAGGTTTTTTTTAGTTTGTAGAATTTTGTATAAAAAGATTGCTATGGAATAGATTTGTAGGTCTTTAATGTTTAATTTGAAAAATTTATTATACATTCTACAATCAATATTCATGTTAAGGATATAACAGATGCACGTATTTTTTGCTTTTTGAACTTTATTTTGTAAAGTATAGTTCACATCACTCATGACGACTGCGCTGTAATGAATATATGCCATTACTGAAGAATTAATTAGTTTTAAGGTGATATCAGTTTTTTTGGTAATCATTTTTTTATAGCGTACATATTTGTGTATATTTTTTTAAGAATTTTATCAATTTGTGGTTTCCATGATAGAGTGTTAGTTATAGTAAAACCATGATAATCAAAACTGCAAGAGGAAGGTTCATACTTTCAATAGTATCACTTGAAATTTAAGTTTTATTCTGTTAATGAGCTGAAAGTGAGCAATTATAATACATTTTGAACGATTCATTTTTAGACCTAGTGAAATTCCCCAGTTGGTTAAATGCTTTAAGTCATCATTAATTTTGGCAATATTAGTATTAATATTTTTAATTTTAATATTTTTGATGTACATACCTAAATCATCTGCGCAAATTGAGTAATTACAATGCTTTATCCATTTCGATATCATGTTTACATATATTGAAAATCTGATTGAGAGAGAGACATATATCGAAAATTTGATAAAAAGAGAGAGAGAGAGAGAGAGAGAGAGAAAGAGAGAGAGAGAGTGAGAGAGACGCTCTTTATTGCTAGCAAGAAAAATAACGTACAGAAACAATGCCGTGTTACAGAATTGTTTTATTTTGATTAATAATTAGGATTTAATTATAAAGCTCAGATTCAATAACTATGCTATGTGGTCCAAATTCAAAATGCCGTTCACAAACTCAATTTTTTTATATTTTTATTACTGATCCTCAAATATAAGGCACTGATTGCTTAAAATTGTTATAATTGTTTCAAATGGCGTACATTTGCATTAACTTGCAAGGATTCTATTCACAAACACATATTTATGATTTTATAGAAGATTTTTTCTCTGACAAATTATAAAGGTCAAACCTTGCCCGAATATTTATCTTTAGCGACAACCAAGTAGTTTAGTTGTATATGCAATAAAAATTATACCTGAAGTGAGCTTCCTTTTGGAAAAATCAACCATCGTTTCGGCCTATGGAGCTTTGCCGAATTGGAAAAATTGGCGGCAGCGAGAGAGGCCATATCGAGACAAATAAGTACAGCAAGTAGGCAGTTATATCTGACCATTTTTGAGTTGAAATAACGACTGGATAGAAGATCGTCCACGCGTTTACGGTACGGCAATTAACACATATTTTAAATAATGTGTGAACAGAACCCGACAGGAAGGCGCATCAGCACAAATAAATTAACACTAGGTAGTCACTGCGGAAATAAACTTACCTGGCTATTGTTAAAGTTGCAAGAATAATAATTACATTTAAGTTTCCAACATATTGTAAATTTTTAGAAGTTTCTGATAACTTTTATTGAAACATAATAACTTGTTAAAACTGTATATTTGTTTGCTTATGATCCATTGTTAATTTTTCAATGGAAACATTTCAAAATAATTCAAACTTCTTGATATTCTATTTATAGTAATTTAAACTTCCATTTAATTTTTAGTTCAGTCACCTGTTAACTTCAATTTATACAATCAACCATTGTTTTCACAAAGATTAATCCACCTTTGTCGTTCGTTTCAAGTTTCATAATTAGAATGCGTGTCAGCGAACGATAGATTTTGGCGTAAGCAGTACGTAATGACTTTCGATTTCCACTTAAAACGTTTACACGCTCTGGTTCCCTTTGGAGATGGACTCAAACCACCACTTTTGATACTAGGACGTGCAGTTATCTACAGAAATAATAGTAAACGTGTTACGACCATTTTTAATTATATATATATTTTTTAAGAAAATTCTTTATGGATGTCGACCAATTTTCGGTTCAAAAAATGTATTTTTTAATTAAAAAACAAAAATAACTTTTTGCATAGAATGAAACTTATTATTTGAGTTAGGAAGATTTAGAAGTGATTCAATTTTTTTTTTTTTAAAGTTGCGAATTTAGTGATTTGGCGTATCGTACCAGATGAACATACATACAACTCGCCATCGCTACTCTCGTCTTTATGAATATTTTCTGATATACAATTAGAACTGTAAGACAACCTTCCAAACAAAAAACTCGTCAAGTTCCTGGAAGAGGAATCGATTTGCAACGTATTTGTGTGTATTTTTATGGCATAAATCAACCTGCAAAGTTCAAGCTAGATCAGAAAATCGCTTCTCCTGAAAAGTTGCATTTTTTCAATTTTCGATATACTTTACTCCAAACCTTTCTCTATACTGAAACCATTCATTTAGAATTTTTTCCAAATCTTGCGAGTTGAGAGAGGAATTCCTTCGTCTTACTTTTTGAGAGGTTTATAAATTTTATAATTAAATGGTGGGATCAGGACAGTCGTTTTAGACCTTGTGAGAAGAAATAAAAAATAAACCACAGCAAAAAAATACAAATAAACACCTTTTTTCTATTTTTTGAAAATAAAAATGAATAATACGGAATAAATACCTTTTCTATATTTAAAATGAATAATACCGATTAAAACCTTTTTTTTAATTAAAAATTAAAAATACTAAATCAATACTTTTTCTTTGATTAAAATTAATGACATTCAGCCGGCAGTAATAAAAAAAATCAATTGACAAAAATAAAATAATAAAAATAAAATGTTCTTGGGAAAAATGATTACCCCGCTAGTGCAGCTCGATGAAAGTCGAAGGTAAATTTCTTAGCCTTCACTGCTTTTGTCCAGTGTTTGATTTTTTCTTTCTCAAGCCATTTTTCCATCTCCAATATTAGCCCACTACCCACCCTCCTTTGGCTAGTTGGTCAGTTTGTTCGTTTGCTTCTATAACTTTGTATTCTCCAAAAACAGACCTCAAGGTAACCTCGTTATATTCTCCAATTACCCTTAGATATTTTCAGACTATTTTGGATATAAACCATATGAATTTCGGTTTTTAATCTCTACCTGACTTACTAAAAGTATCTAGATCCGTGCATCTTTGATTTTCTTCTTTATCAAACTATTATCCTGTGCATATACCTCAGGTTGGTGCATAGTTCGACCAGGCCAAGGGATTTTCCTATAATTCTTCACTTCTATGCCTAACTCTGTCCGATGTTTGATCTATCAGTATACAATATTAGGACTCTTTCCTGAAACTTGAGGTTGCCTTCCTGCCAAATATTTATGTAATTTATGATCCCTTGGAAAGGGTATGTCAAAATTGAGTTTTCCTCCAATTTTGTCAGGTACCGTTACAACCATCTTATTTTGCATACATACAAAATAAGATATTTATATACATTCCAAAATTTTGTGACGTCCTTCTTAGGCGATATCCTTAGATCTGGTTTTATTTGTTTGTGCCTCGTTGTCTGCTGACACTCTCGAAAGTCTCGTTTTGGACATCCATGTCCAAAGGTGGGAGATCGAGTGCGTTTCCTACTCATCAGCCTCAAAATCTGTAAAAAGGGTAGAATTAATAACAAACCACTGTACACCTGTTGTCAGTAGTAAAAATATGTTATAATTTGACTCTAGTCGTGTTGTATGGTTGTTTGCTGCCTATCCTATTATTCCACACGTCTATCCGCCGAACCAAAACCAAGTACAGATATCTTTTAAGGTGAAACGGCAATGATAGTGGTCCAAATATTGGTTTTTAACATGAGATACGTTGTTTAAACTTGTTCGTTTAATTGTAATGTCAATAACCCGAAGCCAGAAGTGTTTACTGAAGAGTAACTCCAGTTAGGCCTTTGGTGACGGTCAGTGTCCTCCATAGGAAGTTTTCCTATTTAATGGCTGCACCTGTTTTAGATGGTAGTTTTTTAAATCACAAGTTTACTTTTATTTTGTTCATTTTGCTAATAAAACATGGCTGTGAACTCGATGGTTAACAAAAGCATACTTCGGGAATATAAGTCACTTGCCAGTACTTCGGTAAGGCAATTCTCATACCAATCAGAGTGCGTGAAAAGACATCGAGGAAAGCGCTTAGGTTTTTAAGAAAGAGTGCATTTTCCAATGTATGGTTATAATCATAGGGGTTCCAAAATAGACATAATATGTAGCAGTGAAGAAAAAGGGGGCAACCCTTACTTGGCATTAAAAAACAAAATCTTAAATACGTGGTGTCAATTTTGATCAATACGTCAATTTTAAATCTTCCTACGTCATTTTTCGTGAGATATTTCTTCATGGGTTCTGTGGGGTGATGAATTTGTTTTTGGTCGATTCGGATCCCTTTGGTGTGCCTTTTCTATTTTTTGTATTTTTTTTCTTACTGTCTGTTTATATTTATTACTCTTTGAGTTTCTTGTCAATTGCATGAATTTATTCACTTACTTTTTCAAATAATTTTAGTACGTTATTTCTGTAGTAGTTATAACAGGATTATTGGTAAATGAAAGACCTCACTATAAGTATAAATTAGTGATTGTATGTTAACGAGTTTAATGGTGAAAATATCTTGATTTTAGATTTATTTCTCAGACATGGTTTGTTCCAGTTTGAACACCATGTACAGTCGGAAACTCTAGCTCAGCAATAAAAATTACGTAATACATCCAAGGTTTTCTCATCTTTCCCATTCTTCGGGGAAAAAAATAACACAAACAGTTTGAAATAATTTGCGAAACGGTTTACGCTTTACAAATATCTGACCGGGCTGTAATTACTTCTGTGCCCATGTTCAGGATCCACGTACGTCGCGTCGTGGCACGGTGGCTGAACATAAAAATGGGCTTTTCGCCTTTGCGCAAGCCGCCCTCCGTCCTGTCCCAGAAAAACCGGTAATGATAGTTTTGCTCGCGTTATTAAAAGCGAAACACTCCCCAACACCATTGTAGAAATCCGGTATAATAACTTGGTGGTGAAGTGAACCTCTTCCAGTTCAACCGTGGACGCCGAGCGATTGCCTTCGTCCTTGCGAACCTTTTCCCAGGTACTGTATCTATCTTATTATATTTTTTAATTTACGGTTAAACTTCTCGCATTCATATTTTTTATTGTGCCATCCTTGTCTACCAATTATCGGTGGTTTTGACTGACAGATACGTTCTAGAATTCACTATCTTAACGTAGTGTCTGTAATTTTTGAAAATATGGATTAATAAAGTAATTTATAAAATATGGCGAAATACTAAAAAGCTTCTGGCGGGTAGAACCAGCGATGATAGGATGACCAAACTCCACGTTTATCACGTTGTGATCATGTTTCAACCATAAAATGTTGCACAATTTTATATGACTAACTAAACCAAACTAAGTTTTTATACTTACAAAATTACATTAAAAATATGAAATTGAATATAAGACTTACAAGTTTAATATAGTTGCAAAAGTTAACAATTTTTGTAACACGATCATCAATGAACAACAAAGTAGATACATTCTATTTGATTTTTGTTTTAATATTAAATTTGGTTTGTTTGCTATTTTGAAACATTACTATCTATGATTTCATCTTATTAGGAACGTACTTAGAATACTTTCCGTCCAAAACAAATACAAATTACAGAAAGTACAATAACTGTACTGAATGTAATATAAAACTGCAAAATTGTTTTTTTTTTTTTTTTTTATACACACGTTGTCTTTTTTGCCCTGTTTCTATGATGGTAATTGGACAACATGGAGCAAGTACACTCTCTACCTTTTTTAACGTTATGGTACATTATTAAAAATATAAAAGTGTAGATTATTGAATTTCTAAGTTTTTCAGTGACCGTCCAGACTTAACTTCCACATGAATTATTATTGTGTGTTCATAAATCATAAATCCGAAGCTTAACCATTTTGTTCCATAAAAATTGTCTAGTAACACTGCAGATAAATATAATGATAATTTTTACAAAACCCTTTGAAAATTTTAGTTTACTCTTGTTGGTATCATTTGTACCAACTGCTCTTTGAAATGGTCTTTTGATCTGGACGTTTTTATTACTAATACAATCAGGGAGTGAAATGCCAAACCATCCATTGTATGTGGCCAGTAATAAGTAATAACCATAGAAGAATAAGTTTGGATTTTGATGTTTTGTTTAGCTTGAAAAACACTTGAAAACCAATGCAGTCATGTAACAGATAAAAAAATATAAAAAAAATATTTACGACGATTTATTACCTTCGATAAAAGACACATTATCAGAGTGTGATGATCTTGAAGCACAGTTTTAACCATTCCATACTGGTTAGACCAAGCTGGTAAATTAAGTAATTAATAAATTTATTCTGAATACCTGCCATCTGTTCAAGCTGACCACAGATCATTTTATGATCAACCGTACCAAATCATCATTGGACCGATTTGGTCTCCATTCTTGATGACGTTAAAAATTAATCAATTCTAATAAGTGATTAGGCTAGTCGTAGTTCCTGCTGATTATCAATTAGGTGGATACAAATCATTTTAATTTTCCATGTAGTTTTACCTTGGAATGAATTGTTTTGCACTGTATTGTTTATATTGGGTCCGGAAAATAATGCAGGTTTTCATGTTGTCTTTCAATTACGCCTCTATATAATAAACTGTTTATGTTTGGGGATTATCCTTTGTACGAATGTCAACACTTTTTAATTCTCTTCCAAACAAAAATGTTTGTTTACCTCAGTAGCGTTTTGATACTTGGGAATAATTCAGTCTTTACTAAGATGTCAACGGTTGATTTTCGTGTAATTTCGTTTTACGAGTTTAAACTCGATCGAAACGGTGCCCAAACAGCCACAAACATTAATGGCAGTGTGAGTGAGAGCATCGTACAGAGATGTAAAAATTAAAAAAAATTCGAGAGACCTTGAAGACGAAGAAGGTCACGAAATGATTTCTTCCCTAGATGATAATATTCTGAGAGCCTTGGTCGAATAAAATACCAGAATAAGTTTTCAAGAACTTGCAGAGAATCTTTCAGTTAGCAAATCTACCCTCGCTGACCAGGTGGTGGCAATTGGAAAGGTGAAAAAGTTCGAAAGTTGGATTCCTCATGCATTAAACGACCGCCAAAAAAATCATCGTTATGATGTTTGCCCAACATTTTTGTTTCAGAAAAGAAACGAACCTTTTCTGGATCGAATTGTTACTTGTGATGAAAAGTGGATTCACTACGATAACAGCAGATAAATTGCAGAGATCTGTAAAAATCTAGCGGTTTTTAATATAACTTGACTTATTTCAGTTTTCCCATGTAGTAAATCCTTGCAAAACTTGTGTATTTATTTCTATTGAAATTTTTCTAAAAGCTTACCCATAAATGCATAAATTCATATAAAAACTAGATAAATTTAGAGAGCGAAGAGAGACCAAAAAGTCAAGATACAATATTACATAAATGAAAAAATAGTTTTCCTAGAACTACTATCACAGTAAATATAAGTTACTATAAACATTGGTTTTGTAATTTGTCCCCATGGATGGATAATTTATACTGAAATAATCTAAATCTACATAAATAAAAATGTAATATATTTATTTAAGAAAGCAGATAATTTAATATTTTAAAATGGCAATAATTTTGTGGTAAATTTCTATAGAACATAGATTTGGTTGTTGAGCTAGGTCAGAGTTATCATGAAGGGCGCAAGTTGGCACATTCAAAATAAGTCAGAGGAAAGGGATCGTTCGCAGCCAACTAACATAGACATTTGTCATATAATCACCTGCTTTTGAGCCCAGAAAAATGTTTTATTGTAATTTTATGACTTCTTGTCTTGTGTCCTCTTCGAGTGTTTGGAGTCCAGGATCTTACCATCCCGCCACCATTGCTTGGTAACAGCTAGGTCATTTCAGACCCCAACACATGCAGTTTTTTACCCTAGATCCACGCACACTCTCTCATTCTTAATATATTCGTTCCAATTCACTCAAGTACGGTGACTGTGTACTCGATATTCCTCCGCATATTATATATTTTACGCATATTATATAACTAACCTAAATGAGGTTTGATGGGGTATTCAATAATCAAGCATTGGCAACACTACACATTCACGCTAATAAATACAATTACTTGCATTATACACTGAAGGAAACACAAAACAAGATATCTACCAAGTACTATATAGAACAAAACAAGATTTTCCTCCAAAAATCGGACCAGAGGTCCCAAAGACTGGCTGCCATGCTCAAGCAAAATTGTCATATTGGGTGGCCCCTTATTTCTCTATATGGAGTCAAAGAAACTAAATATTAAACCTATTTGTGATTTTTTTTTAGAGACCGGTTGTTTAACAATTGTTGGGGTCATGAGGAGAAGAATGAGGTAGTATAAAAAAACACCTTTTGCATTTTGTTGTATCACACCAATAAGAATATCACACTTTATGCCCTGAAGATGACAGAAATAAAGGTCGAAACGTCTGCAAAAAAAATTGAAAAAAGTGTTTTTGTAAACTACTTCATTCTTAACCGCTCCTCATTAATCCAATTTAATAACCAACGATAACAATAATAAACCTATTGACAAAATATATTTAGGTCTAGCGTTCGAAAAACTATAACATTTATGATTTATTTTTTTGTTTTTAGTACATAATGGGTGCATTAACTGATAGTGACAAACTGAAGGCCAAGGAACGAGTTTTTGAAAAGCTTGGAATATCGAACAAGTCAGTGACTTTAGATGTGGACTTGCTGAAAGATTGGATGGCCAAACACCCGTATTTTCCAAACGTCGACCACTGTATAAATTGCTTATAATACAAAATAAAATGTATGCTATAATATTTTTTGTATATTTCAGTGAATTTGGACACATGGTTGGAAAACCAGATAATAATGGCGAAGAACAGTTTGGAAAAAACAAAAGGGAACATTGAAAAATACTTTTGCATCCGGGGCATGTGCCCAGAGCTATTTGAGAATAGGGATGTCATGGAAAGTAGTTTGAGCCTTAGTTATGAAACCCTGTAAGTTTGTAAGGTACTAATCTAACATGTCAGCTCTTATCCACCCTTCACCAGTAAAACCCAACTCAAACATTAACTGTCTTTCAGAACAATATCCTACTTACCCGGCGTGACCGACCGACTTCACAAGGTCTGCATGGTTCGGATTGAAGATCAACCTGTTGAGAATTTTCAGTTTGAGCCTATCATCAAACGATGCCTTTTGGCCATTGAGTATTACTTAAAAGAGGGGATTTATTTCACTGGATTTCACTTAGTGTTTGATCTACAACATTTAAAACTAAATCACCTCGGAGCTTTTAAACTATCACTTATGCGATATATGTCTTTATCGATGGTAAATCCCATATTTTCATGTTTTATTAAACAACTATTTACGCAAAAATTATTTTATTTAGAAAGCTTTCCCATTCAGTATGGCTGTCACTGGACTCATGAATTGTCCGCCATTCATCGAAAAAGCAATTAGCCTTTTTAAACCATTTATATCGTCGAAACTTTACTCACGCGTAAGCAATTCAAAAATATCTTAATTTTTGTTTTATTTTTTTATAATGATTAATAATTTGACAGATTGTGATCATAAAAGACATCGACGCTCTGAAAGAAGTAATCGGTGACGTGAAACTGCCTAGTGATTATTGCAGCGACAATTCTATCAGTCAGAAGGAATATAGTGGTAATTATTTATCAAAACTGTTTATATTTTGTGAGAAAACTTATCTCCCTGTTTTCAGATGCAATGAAGCTGAATTTTCACAGAATCAAAGACTATATTTTATGCTGTGATAAGGTCAAATGTGATAAGAACTTCAATGATTTGAAAAGCACTTCAGCTGAATCGGAGATGTTTGGCACATTCAGAGCTTTGACACTCGATTAAATTTTTTTATTACATTGTATAAATGCTTTTAACTGGCTGTAAAATTGTTAATTATTATATTTTATTATTTGTATTAATTATGATGTAATTTGTGATTTTTCATCTTAAAACGATTAATTCTAAAATATGGCAGTTGATACTTTTCTAATTCATACGATTGAAGACTATTAGGTAATCTAACATTCTATCTGGAAACCAAAATTTTATCTTCTTTTACCATACTAACGCTATTTTGATGTAATTGGTATTAAAGGTACAATAAAATTATTACGTTGTTATATAATATTGCCACATTCCAATGTCATGAAAATTGTGTATAATATCTGTCTAATTGTAATATGCACGGTATTTGGAAAAAAAGTTTTTAAGGCTTCCTATCACTTTTACGCTGTTTGAAAACTACATTAATAAAATGTTAATTTCTACCACGATTCACATATTATTTCCTCATTCCTTCCTACCGTGGTGGTAGTGGAGATGGTGACCTGTTACCCTTAAAGGGAAATTTCAGTTACCCCTGTACTGTACCACACTACCCCCGAAAAAAAGATTGTTTTTTTTCTTTTTCAGTTACTAGATTGAGTTAGCGAGTGCAAGAGTTGTAAACTCGTGGACAATAATAAGAATATTAACAATTAATATTGTCACTGATATCTCTGACGACGAGAATTGGTGAACCCCGACGTGATAATGGATTTTCACGGGAATTCTGGAGTGGAAGAGAACCGATCGGCCCGGGCCACGTGGTTCCAAAGGTAAATAGAGTGTCTATTAATATTCCGCCATTCCGACAAGGAAAACCCTTTTTTCTCGGGGTAGTACGGTACAGTGCAGAGGAAACAGAAATTTCTCTTTAGGGCTAACAGCTCTCCCTCGCCACTACCACCACACTATTAGTTTCAGCAACTATAAACAGCCATTGAAATTGTGGCCTTAACCCCAAATTTAAATTTAATACCTTGGTTCTAAATGTTCTTTGTTCTGTCACATTTGCAGTATACAACATCAAGGTGTTGTCTGGGAAATTCTGCCTTGAAACAAGGATGGTTGAGACTTCTGCCCAACTGTCAATTAGGAATTCTGAATTTTGTCCTTTATCCTTTATAAACAGCCGATGTAAGCAATACCTTTCTTCAGCAGCTTAACTTACCTATACTCCTTCTGACGGGTTGCATATTCCACAGCATTCCACTGGCGTGATGTTTTTCAATTTTCTAGGTAGCACTTTTGACCATATGTAAAATGGGTAAATTGCCACTTAGATCATATTTCTTCCTTCTTCGGCTTCTGCTCTTTGGTCTGCTCCGCAACTTACTATGTGGACTTTGAATGCGGCCTGCAGCCAGCCGAGAGCATCGATCTAGTGTTCTAGCCTCTATCTTGGAAAATAATTTTCCTATGATGTTGCTTCTCTATCCTATGCTGGACATAACTCACCACGCCAATGTTGTGGATTCATCTCCTTAATGTTGTCAGCCATAATCGAGATATTCTTCAGATTTTCCTTGCTGACAAGGAACACGTTCTTAATTAAATTCGGAAGTTTCTCCAACCACAGTGTCCTAATTAACAAATCCAAAACATTAGAATCTGCCAATAATTGCATACGGCGCAGTAATTACTTTTGGTCACCCAGTTCGATCCCAGTGACCAGTCTTTTCGTTTGACCTGACTCTCTCTGAAAATATCCAGTCCTGGGTTTTGCGAACGAATAGTTGTTTTCCCCATTTACCGTAACAACGCCCCAAAATTTTCCAATGTATTTTGTGTCCGATTGCGGAATAAGTCGATTCGGGTATCCTGTCATACCATCTTATTAATAACAAACTGGTCTTCGAATTGATATAACGTAGTAAACATTAATCATACTACACCTTACCACCCTCAGGCAAACGGTAAACATGAACTGTTCCACAGAACTTTTCAGAATAAAAGCAACATCATAGTTAGGTCTTCAAAATGGACAGAGACCTTTCCCAAAATTCTGTTAGCACTACGGCAGCACAACGATTATGGCCAGCATTCTATAGCTTATATGCTTATACTACAAGGTGAATTTTGGAATACTCATCAACTTTGGGAGTGGAAACGTTTGTTTCCAGGCAACAGGACCTGTTAAGACAATTGAGGCCTGGAAGGAGGCCATAGGACTTCATGCATATGGATTTAAAATCTTGTATTCATGTATTTGTTTGCATAGGCAGAGCAAAAAAGCCTTTGGAACCTAATTTTAGTGGTCCATGATTAATATTTTACACTGACAATTACAGGCGAGAACACAATCATATCAGTTGATCGTTTCAAACCAGCTTATCTCTTGGCAACAAATCTAGACGAGGAACTCTTTCATCCTAGTCAGTTTGCAACTTCCAGCTCAGCAATGGGCCAACCTGGAATTGCGAACATGAAGAACCCAGAGGAAAAGACTGCTAAAAGAAGAAAATTTTTCGATTCCCATTGCATTATACCACATAGTGTAGTGAAGTGCAGCATTAAATATTTTCTTAGTTTGGTTTAAAAAAAAAAAACTGATCGTGTACATTTTCTATATTGAACGATAGATTTATTTATGTGTAATGTGTTACATATTTTCGTTTGATTTGTCCGCACTTATATTGAATCTTGCAATTTTTTACCCTGTTTAAAGATACAGTTGTCAATTTGATATCAGCGACTACTCAGCCATTTGGAAGGGGAGTAGGGTGATGGTGGCGGCGAGGGAGAGTTGCTACCCCTAAAGGTGGCCATTCACGATCACTCCAAATGGAACCGCGCCAAGCCGTACAGTTCAATTTGGAGTGTCTGAAATTTGAGGGGGCATTTACGACCACTCCACAGCCAGTCGCTCCGAACGTCAACCAGTGAATTACCTTCTCCAAATGGATGACGATTTCTTGTGCTACGCTGCTGTTTATTTATATATTAAAATCAAAAAATCGAAGAGGAAATGGTGTAAGAAGTGGCTCCTGAACAGAAGCCGTAATACCCATATCAATTTGATGAAAGATCTTTCCCTTGAACACGCTGATTGGAAAAACTATTTAAGGATGGATGAAACGTCTTATTTATTCATTATATTTAGTGTTCTATTACTTCTTTCAATTAATTAATCTTTTTTGTAATGTTCTGGTTGTAATGAAAAAGCTAGTGCCACGAGCGGGATCTGAATCCATGGCCTTCGGCTAAATACGCCGCTGTTCTACCACTTGAGCTATCGTGACGTCTATCCTCTCGGATACCAAAAAATGTCAAAAAGAGAAAATTCGAAAGGTTGTAGGTTGAGATGGGAGTTGGTGTCCGAGTGGATCGATCTATCGAAGTCACGATAGCTCAATTGGTTCGAGCAGCGGCGTATTTAGCCGAATGTCGTGGATTCGAATCCCCTCGTGGCACTATTTTTTCATTTCAACCAAAACCTTACAAAAATAAAAAGATTAACGTCTTATTTATATTTACTCCAGCTTGTTACCCCCTTGATTAGAAAACAAAAGACAGTCATGAGAGAAATCATCACTACTTGAAAGGTTGGCAACCACATTACGAGTTCTCGCTACAGGGATGAACTAAAAAGAACTTAAGTTTTCTACTACGATTTCTGATCATTGTTAGAGATTATCAATACCGCATCTCTCCTTGCATTTGTATCCTTTGTTTTGAAAACGTTGACCAGCTGGTTGAGGATCGAATTTCTTTTATTTCTATCGTGGTAATATAATCATTGTCCACCATTTTCATAAACATGGTAAACTTTCATACAATTCAATCACCTCAACAATAAAATCTCGATTGGATATCATTACCAATAAAGAATAAACATTTTTGACTTTTTGAGAATGTACGACGGAGATGTTTGCTCAGTGACAGAAAGACGGAGACTACACCAAAAAAACAAGGTTTTCCTATTCACGACCAGGCCAGCGCGCCAAAATCTCCACCCTCCACGCCAGGTTTTCCCATTCACGAACGCGCCATGCCTTCGTCGCGCCGTAGATATTCGGAGTGGCGCGATGGAGTTGGGACCGGTCGAGTATTCGGCACAGCCGGGCACGCCAGCTCAGTTTTGCCATTGACGTGGTTTTTGGAACGGATTCGCTCCGTTTGGACTGCTAGGAGCGATCGTGAATGGCCACCTTAAAGGAAAATTTCATTTACCCTTGCACTACACCACACTGCCCCGGAGAAAAAGCGGTTCTTTTTAAATTCGTAGTGAGTTAGTGAGTGCAAGAGTTTTAATCACGTGGTCAATAATAAAAATATAAACAATTAATTTTTTTTTGTTACTGATACACCTAACGACGACACTACCCATTTTTTAAAGCAAGAAATGTAAATTATTTCAAGAAATTCTTGTTGTGTAAAATCTTATTGTTTATTTTTAAATCAATAATGATCATAATTCTTAAGTGCACACTCTTTTAATTGACAAGTTGACAAAATAGTGTATTGTAATTAGGTTATTCATTCCAAAAGTATGCAATAAGGAAAAAATGGCAACAATGATATTTTATTTCAAATGTCACAAATAAAGTCTTATTCAACACATAATTATGGCTGATTGTCCATATAATACAATAATTATAACAATGATATATATGTTTACATTTACATATATAGCCAATATTGACGGTTTTCATTAACGTATATTATTATGACTGTGTAAAATAATAAATTACACTTTCTTTTTTTTTGTTTTTATTTTTTATTTTTATAAATATCTAATATTTGAGATGCTAATTCTTCACCCTCATCTTTTCAATTTTATTTAATTATTAAATAACATTTTTGATCATTAATTCTAAGCAATGATTTTTTTCAACACCAGTTGAAATTTTTTTTATTTGTCTTAAACAAAACTTAACATTCTATCATTGTTAAGCACATCAGAAGAGAAAAAAGAATAATGTTCGATCTTCTTACCCCTGATTGCCATGAGCTTTTTTTTGTTTTTTTTTTAGGAAATTTCGATTGAGTTTGATATATTTATATTATGTGGTGTTCCATAATATTGTAAAAAAATAAGTAATCATCGGCACTTCATATAAATTCAAAGTTCCATTTATTAAAAACTGCATTTTTCTCTTTTTTTTTTAATAATTCCATTTGATTAAATCATTTTATTTGGGTGTCAAAGTATAAATTTTGAGAGAGTCGGTATAAAATTATTATTTTTATTATCAACAGAAATGTCAAAATGAATGTATATTCAAATATGAATATTCACATATAATATTACTGAGGAATATTATTGTACAATTATTTGTAGCAGTTTATTATATATATATATATACCTTACTTCTTTTTAGGTTCACAAAATATTTGTTACATCTTACGTATAAAAATCTATTCGTCCTATTAGATATCAAATGCATTAGAAATACATAATTCAATGTGGTAAAAGTTTTTATTGATGTAAAAACAGTGATAGTATTAATTTACTATATGTATATATATATCCTTTATTCTTGTAGCTCATATATATTTTTTTCTTCTTTTGTATATAATATATATATGTAATATTATATCCAACACAAATGAAAACAAATAATTGAAAGGAAAATTTAAATTATCACATATAATTTTTTTTATAATTTAAGCACAACCATTATAATTTATAAGACAACTTTAACAAAATTAAGCAATTATTTGTTAACAGTGATAGTAATTTGTATAATATTAGTTATACTTCTTTCCCTTTCTACAGTGGAAACGTGTTCTATATTAACTATTTCATAATACTAATCAATGTAATGTAAACCCATATAATATATATTTTTAAATTATTTATATACAACATCCTTGTGGGATCAACACATGAAAACAACAAACTCGATTTTATCACAACAAATGTTTTTGGTAAACAAGCAATTATAAGAAATTTTAGCTATAATTTAACATTTGAAAATGATTACGTTTTTTTTAATCATTTAATTTTCTTTATCATTACGGACATAATATTTACAAAATGATCTTGATAACAATTAATGGTTTTTACTTAATCTTGGGAAGACACCAGTTCTGATAGAAAATACGAAAATAGTTCAAAACGCTTGAAACATATAATTTAAAATGATTGTTCCGTCTCTTCATTTTAATGTTTATAATACATATATATATATTGTAGTAAATGAAAAAGAAAATAAATTTTAAAGGCCTATGGAAAACCACAATTGATTGTTGTTTAACCGCATAGTTTAGCTCTTATTAACTGCAATATGTACATAAATACATAATAATAATTACCACTATTAAAATACCAAAAATATCTTTTTATTAATTTTTATTTCTTGTATGCGTTGAAATTCTAAAATATTCTATATAAAAAACAATGGAATTTCATTTGAAATATCGTAACTTTTAAAAAATTAAGAACCAACAAATGAACAATTGAATTTTCATCTTTCTTACCTAAGTAATTAATGTACATAATATATATAACCTTAAATTATATTATTTTCATTCTCCTTCTTTTTATTTTATTTTGTTTTTTTAAATAAATATGCCTCTTTTCTTTATTTCATTCTATGTCCAGTTTTCTAGAATGAGAAATTACATTTACACAATTTATTTTATAATCTTACTTATTTTACATACTCATTCATGGAAACCTATCTTGTATGTACTATTCATATTCAATTGAACAAATGAGCAAATCTTGATTATAGTTTCTTATTAATGGAATAAGGCTGTGCAAATATAATGATAATGCACACAATGTCGTTCTAAAACTAAATGTACAAATTTATTTCTTCTTATATAGAATATGAAGTTGTTAATTACACAATTTACACCTTTGCGTATTGTTTATTTTCAAAACCACAAAACATAGTTCACCACTCACTAACTCTAAGTACAAATACATTTTCTTTTTGTACAAAAAAATACAAAGAGTAACGCAAACGTCCTTTGTCTACCAAACTATATATTACAAAATAATGTGATAAAATAAACATCGTAAGCATTGAAGACATTTAAAAAAATATCATCAGATGATTAAAAAGTTAAAAACTATGATGACCATTGCCTGCCTTAAGTTATATCTGAGGAAAAACAAACCCAATAGAAAGTTCAACATAGTCTGTACAATTAATTTAATTTTCGTAACATTTAATTTTAGTGGATTTTATTTTATTGATAAAAAATGTATTTCAAAATATATACATTTTTTCTATTTATTATTTTAACGAATTAGACCTGGCAAAGACTGAACATTCAAACACCCATCCCAAAAACTCACCTTAAAGTCATTAATTGCTTCCAGTTTAAATTCGGCAGTTTTAATTATATGTTACAGATTTTAAGGGAATTTTCTGGTATAATTTAAGGCAAGCAAAGTTTATTATTTTCTCTACAATGACCCGTATATTATAAGTTGTAATTAAACCCTAGGCTTCTTCAGGCCCCATCATAAACATGCGTTTCTTTGCAATTTTCGAATACACAATGTCAATTGGTTTTGAACTGTCATAAAGGGATGGAGCTTGGAGAATAATTACAACGGCACCCAGGAGACAAGCAATTAAGAACACCCAAAGGAAGAGGCGATCCAGCACCATGGCTACATATTTCCAGTCTTCTATCACCTATAACACATACAAAAATGTAATTACATATCACACATAGACCAAAATATAGATACACATTGAAGGATGTTAAGAATCAGAGTTTCAAACATTTAAATATTCTTTTAGTTAAAATGCTGTTCTGGAAGTCTTCCTGAATCTATCACTACTGCATAAACTTCATCCAGGGAAATGCTTGAGTTACAATTCACACGTTAATGCAGGTATAGCTCCAAAAGCGTACTCACGAAGGATAAATTAAAGCACGGGGAAGAACTTCAGGCTGACAAGGTTCTCAGGATGCCTGCTTTCAAAATTCAGATTTCATAAAACATTTTCAACTAAAATACGCGAAAGACAAGAAGAAAAGGATTCCAGTTAATGCCAATAAATTGCACAAGGAAAATTCTACGAGAGCACCTATTGGCCCTGAGCCGTTTTACGACATACCAAACTGCCAAAAATGTGTATTCACCAGACGATGAATTAAAAGTAAGGCGTCCATGTTAGGACTAGAATAATTGTTGTACGCTGGAAAGGATAGTTTGTGAGTAGTTCACAGTTTGTTTCACAGTTAGTGAATAGAACTATCCTTTCCTACCAGTGAATTGATGTACTCACCCCACCTCAATTATAAACTGCATTATAATTGCATAAAGTTCATCCATGGAAAAGCATGAGCTATAATTCGCACGTTAATGTAGGGACAGCTCCAAAAAGCGTACTCACGTAAGATAAATTAAAGCACCGGGAAGAACTTCAGGCAGACAAGGTTCTCAGGATCCCTGCTGTCAAAATTCAGATTTCATAAACATTTTAAATTAAAAAACGAGATAGACCGGCTGGAGAAAGGTATTGCAGTTAATGCCAATAAATTACACAAGGAAAGTTCTACTAGAACACCTATTGGCCTTGAGCCGTTTTATGACATACCAAATTGCCAAAAACGTGTATTCACCAGGCAACGAATTAAAAGTAAGACGTCCATGTTAGGACTAATAGTTGGATCGGGTGGAAAGGATAGTTTGTGAGTAGTTCACAGTTTGTTTCCTCAATTATTTCTAATAAGAGATGAACTGCTAACCGGAACTGCGGACTCCAGAGGCATATATATAGACACGGAGGGACAGAAACAAGTCTGTTGTTAGAAAGAAAAAGAGACAGCGGAACTTACCCTCTGTTGCTATGAAGGGCTATGCAGGCTGAGATTACTACTCATGAGAGCGGAAAAGCTAAGACCTGAAGGATATCTTAATAAACAAACGGGATCTCTTAACAAAGATTTGGGATCTGATAAAAAGCCTTAGGCTTAACGAAGAGCTTAAGATAATAATGAGATTGCGCGATAGACCAATATTTGTCACGGTGGGCAAGTCGTTAAGAGGCCTATTTATTTTAACCTAAATCGTAGTTGAAATATTAAAAAAATCCAATGAACACTGATGGACAAATTTAACGCACCACTCAATTTATTTACTTTAAAAATAAATCCATTATTTTTCTACATTAGGAACAGTTAATTGAAAGCTATCGTAGTCAAAATAAACAGTAAATAATGCTTGGTTTATTTTCTTTCTTTATGTTTGTATAATTGTACTAATTAATCCCATTTGCACAAAAAGTAGCATTATGCCCTTCCATTCTTCTACGGATAAAGATCGCTTTCAGTTAATATTTTTTCTTCGTTTATTATCCTTCGATATTCTTCTTATTCAATGGCTCCAGTCAGGCATTTGAGTGAGTATGACGGTGTCAGGTCACTAGAGGAAGGATACAGACAGCGCTACTCGCCAGGAGTATAAGTGTAAATCACTTCGTAATAGGAAGGGTTCTTCGGCGCTTGAGATAAGCACGGCGTCACACTAGAAGGCCAGGACAGGGTCGACGTAGGTCTACAGATGAGACAGACGATAGTGTCATACGTCATCCGACTCTACGAAACTGCAGCCTTTTGATTTCCTCCAAGACTGTAAGAAGAAGGCCCAATGAAAATAACCTCAGGGCCCGGCACTCCACTCGCGGATCTCTATTTAACGCGGATTAGAAAATGGCCTGGCTTCAATTCGTACGGGAACATGTGAATTGGACATTGGAAGATTTGGGACCTGTTCTGTTTTCATGCGAGGTGAGAGTTACCCGATTCTTCACATGGGCCTAATTTCATTTGGAGACGCTCATGAGTAAGGTAAGCCCCGTGCTGTATGTTTCCCCAAGTGGCATTCCACAGTGGATCATTGATGCTCTATGATGGCATTTACTTGTACGCCCGCATAGAATTAGCTGTTGAGAGAGGAGGTACATCACAGAGGTACTTAGGAGACATAATCGACGAACATGTATTGCCATTTGCAACCCACATCGGTGAGACATTTTTTCTATTGGATTCTAAGCCCCATAGAGCGCATATTGTGGATGACTACCTGAATTACGTTGTAATTTAGTGCTTGGTGTGTCCTGCTCGAAGTACAGATTTGACCCAATCAAATAGTGTTGGGTCCTAATTAAGAGAGGAGTACCACGGCGAAACCCAGGTCCTTGGGAAAGATGGGGATAAGAGAGGAGGCCACAAGGCCTACTGCACCTACACCTATTGTGATCCTCTGTTATTTATAACTCACTGGCCAGCTTCAGGCTTGTGGTTTTTCTTGTCCTAGTTGCAATGACCTTCACCAAATAGACTTTCACAGAAACATGTTCTGCGGTCTCCTCCTCTTCCAGGCAGTATCTGCACAGTGTTTCTTCTGTCTGTACTCCTATCCAGTGCAAGTGCTTTCTTCAGTGGCAGTGCCCTGTCCAACCAGAATCCTGGTTCGGTTGCGGTTGCCTTCCAGTAATTATTTTGTAAGTTTTGCGGATGGTCCTTCTATGAATCTTTTCGCGTGCCTCATACTCGTGGTATTGTTCCACCAGGTTTTGGACTCATTAAGGATCCATTTTAAGATGTATCCTCTTTTGCTAACCCATATCTTAACTCTACAGGAAAGTTGAAAATAGCTGTTCTTGATGATTGGGAAAGAATACCTTAAAAATTTATCAAAAATCTTTATCCAACAAATGGAAAGGCGTTTGACTGACGTGATTCGTGTCAAATGAGGAAATACTTGGTGCTTAAGGGGACAAATAATTTTTTATTTTTACTTTTGAATTTTCTGTTTTTTTCCTTTACTCCATAATTACTTTTTTAGCATTAAGTAATAAACATTTTCTTTTTAAATATCTTATTTTTACAACCAATCCTAATTTTTGTATGCCAAATATAAAAAAGCTGAATAATTGTGTCCATCATTGAAGTTTCAAAGCAGATAACAATTCTTTGTAATTTTGAAAAATATAGCTATGTTAAATTGAATATGCAGCAATAATTACATACATAGGCTTACAATTTAGTTTTGCATTTTGATTTTGGGAATAATACTTATTATTTCCTTTATATTTAGTAAAATTGAATTTTTTTGTTAAATTTTTTAAAGAAATAATTGACTTCTCCCTAATAGGAGAGTTGTTAAATGATTTTTAGTGAACTTTTAAATAAGAAAGTTGCTTTGCTGACTAATACAGTTAAATATAAATGAAGACTTTTTTACTAAGCAAATACTGTTAGATCCCATAATCACGTTGCTCAAACGCTTTTCAAGAGGTTTGTACAATACCTCTCAAAACAGGATTTGAGTGAAGAAGGGCTAAGGGAAACTTAGGGTTGAGGCAACAAAGGTAATCCCTGCAGACCCTGACTCCCAGTCTCAAGTGGCCTTTCAGGTACAAAGCTTGATAAAATGTCTCTGAGTTTTTTATTTATAAATGCGCAAAAAAGAAAAGCAAGAAGAAAGAAAATTGATTGTAATGTTACTTACATTTTCGAACTTGTCTTTGTTCTTAACATGTTGAGCAATAAACTTGGCATCTTCTATAGTTTTCTCCATTGTAAGTGGCTTTTCAAATGTAGGACTCACATCATCTGTGTGAATGCCAGGACTGAATAAGTCATCATCGGCTGATGGGAGAGGGAGTGGAGGTTCCCCAAAACAGGGTACAGGGTCAAATCGTGATGGTGGCAGTGCAGGAATATTAAAATCTCCACTTAACCTTTTAAAACTGGAACAAAAATTTTGGAAATTAAACATTATCATGGTATAAATAGGTAGAATAAATTTGAGTCCAGTCAGTTAGACTTTTCGGCAGTATTGTTCGTTTAACTTTAAGTTACTATAAACAAAATTTACACCTTACACCGAATTAAATAATAGTATTTATATGCGTTAGGATAAAATAATAAAACGCCCACTACAATCTATACAAAAAAAAGGTGATATAAATTTAATATTTATATAAAAGTATTGGTTTATTTCATTATTTAAATTAATTTATGATCTACCCATGTTGCTTAATGCACTATGAGATAAATATAAGTAAGTAATGGCAAAATGCCTTACCAACAGCCGCAATTGTAGTGGTAACTGGGACTAATGGCAGGATTAGAAATGCCGTTGTGTGGTAGTTAAAGTTTCAGTGTTAATATTGCAGTTGCTTCCCTCACCATGTGCACTCAATGTATCAGAATGGTATTATTTGTATTCATATCACTTATTATTGGTGCAGTAGCAACGAATATGGTACTAGCAGTGTTACTATGATAAGTTTAATATTAATTGTGGTAGTATTTAAACCTGGGCTGTCAGCATCATTTCAGCCTCTAACACAAGCAATTTTTAAATCTAGACACAATCATACTTTTATTCATTCTTTCCTATTTATACATTATTCACTTTATAGGGTGGTGGAGTATTTAATATTCCTCCATCACCCTTTCTTTACACATATTATGTAACTAACTGTGGAACAATGGGGCTTTCAATATGCCACCATTGGACCTCGTACATATTCACGCTAATAAATACATTTAGTATCAATATAAACAAAACGAGATATCTATCATTACTAAGACAATAAAACAGCACTGTTTACTGCAAACATTGGAACAGGGGAGTCAAATTCCGGGGTGCTCAAGAGCAAGTCTCGATCAAGAGAAGGTGACTATTACTGTGATGCACGACGACTAGAGACGATCGTTTTATTGTTCTTACCGCACTAAGGAACCGTCATTTAACAGCTTCTTTGATAGGTGGTCAACACCAAACGGTCCATGGTGAACTGTAAAACAGTAAAAAGAAGGCTTCATGAGAATAACCTAATTCAGGGCTTCCAGAATTTTTAACCTTCGGACCCCTTTCACAAAACAAAATCCAGGGCGGACTCTTTGCACTTAAGCATTTAAATTTAAATATTAAAGTATATGCAGTAAATTGAAGATTTTATAAATTAGCATTAAACAGTCCATTCCTAATTAGTTGATAAAGATGGATATCAAATTGATCAGATTGGTAAAATTAGACAGAACGGCATAAATAGGTATATAAAACTCGAGCCAATTTGAAAATTAATAATTTAAACATTAAAAATTAACGAATTAATGGGAATAGTGTGGTTGTTTTACTACATAATTTAGATATGTTGGGCTTAATTTTGGATAGCTGGAGATGGATGTCGGATGGAGACGGACATGTAGACAGCTTCTGTATTTAGTTTTGGTGGCTGTAGATAGAAAATACGGATTCGCAAAGATAAGTTGTGGCAAATGGAAGAAGAACAAGTTTTACTTTTTCAACTAGCGATGAAATTTTTTCTTTTGCAGACAGAGTCAATAATGGGGCTAAGTATCGGACTCCAAAGTAGATTTCAAGATGGAGTCTGAAGTAATATCTAACAAACACTCGTACCCACTTGAAGATGAACTGGTCGGCTTTGTCGAAATTGAAACGGTTGGACGATTCAGATTCATGGTCTTGCAGCAGTGTAACCCGAGTTGTTGGGAAATAGTGCTCAAAGGACATCTCCAAACTTCGAAGGTGTTCTCATCGATCAACATGCCGTTCGCAAGGTCCAGTTTGTTATCTTTGAAAAAAATCGTTAACACAGGAAAACACTCTACGTCTTCCTTCTCAACAGATTCAACTCAAAACTGGATTTTTCGTTTGATGGCGTGAAATTTGTCATTAGCACCGAAAGTTGTGATAATCTTTCCATACAAAGAAAGACTCATATCATTCATCCTAATGACAATATTTTATGAATATGACATTATATATTGCCATTTCTCATCAATGAAAACGTTGACCAATTTGATATTTTGTCCATCCACAAGATTTATCTTCGGAATGTAATTGTAATCGAGAGACAGCCACCTCACTTCTCTATGGAGAAGGAGGGAATATGGAGGCGTTCCATATCGTCATATGTGACGATCATTAATTATACAAATCGCGGGTATTGAAGTTACACACAGTATTTGAAAGGACTTGACTTCAATATCCGCGATGTACAATTAATGATTTGAACAGATTCAAACCAAACTTTCTTAAAAGAAGGTAACTGTTTGACATCTAAAGCATGTCGGTTGAGAAGACAATGGCTGTTGATGCAAAATAAAAACTTTCGTTTTCAGTACTCATAGTTATTAGTTTGTTATTATTATTTCTTGACGCTCCTAGTTTGTCTCGGCGGACCACAGTTTGGGAAGCCCGCGCAAGTCTCTAGACGTTCCGCAACAGTAGAAAATGCGACTATTCGCAAATCAGAATCTCGCTGGGTCACCTGAAAAATGGGGGGCTTTCTATTCACAGATGAGTGCCGGTTTGGTTTGTGGCAATCAACTGACAGGGACAATGTGTGGAGAAGATGTGGAGAACTTTTTGTTTCGTGTGCCATGCGTGAGTAAGCGCCTTTTCAAAGACAATCAGTTATGGTATGGTACCGAATCAACGTCCATGCCCGTACCGAACTGATTATCATGCAAAATAGATATTTGACTGTTTTTAGGTACATTGAGGAAGTTAGTCTGGAAAGTGTGGAAAAATATTCATTCTGTTTATTGGGGCCAACTTTGTCATAATGCATAATAATGCTGGACCGCATGTAAATCGATTTGCCACCCATTGCTTGGAGGATGTAGAGATCACCAAAATGAATTTAAAGTATTTTCTCCTGACATGATAGAGACTGGTTACACATCAGTCTCCAACTCCAACAAGCGTTGAATAGATTCAAACCGCATTTGTTGAAGAATGGGATTCTGTTTCACAAGACGAAATCCGAAGCTTTATTTCCTAGATGCCTGAGGCCTTCGCGAGGCCAGAGATAAAACGCGTTATTAAGAGCAAAGCAAATTATTAAATTGTTAGTTAAATTTTATTCTACCCCGAAATGACTTTCCGAGTTTTAGTTTTCTTCTCTAATTTTCTTTCAATCCATCATAATTTAATATTTTTTTATTAAAACTCATGAATTTCTGATCTAGTTGAATTTAGTTTACATTAAAATAGTTATGTTGTAATTAATATAACAATAAAAATACAAAATAGTTTGAAATATCGGGTTGTCCGGAAAATAATGCAGGATTTTAAGTTTTCATTAAAAAAAATCTATATAAAATATTCTGTTTACGTTTACAGGATTACTCATTTGTATGAATGTCAACACTTATTAATCCTCTTCCAAATGATATTGTTTGTTTACCTCTGTAGCATTCCGCTACTTGGAAATAATTCAGTCATCCTTATAATGTCAAAGCGAGAATTTCGTACGATTTTCTTTTACGAGTTTAAACTCGGCCGAAGCGGAGCCCAAACGGCTAGAAACATTAACCAAGTCTGGGGCGAGGGTTGTGTTAATGAGTGCACTGTGCAAAGGTGGTTTAAAAAATTTCGGGAGGGAGATTTCAGCCTTGAAGATGAAGAAGGTCGTGGAAGGCCTTCCTCTCTTAATGATGATGTTCTGCGATCAGTGGTGGAAGAAAACCCCAAAACAACTGTTCGAGAACTTGCAGAGCAACTCAAAGTCAGTAAAACGACCGTCGCTGACCACCTCAAGGCGATTGGAAAAGTGAAAAAACTCGAAAATTGGGTTCCACACTCATTAAACGATCGCCAAAAAAATCAGCGCTTTGATGTTTGTGCATCACTTCTTTGTCGAAACAAAAATGACCCATTTCTGGCCAGAATTGTTACATGTGACGAAAAGTGGATTCTCTACGATAACACTAGACGTTCTGGACAGTGGCTCGACAAAGGAGAAGCTCCAATACATTTTCCAAAGCCCCCAACTCATCAAAAAAAGGTAATGGTTACGGTATGGTGGGCTTCATTTGGTTTAATACACTACAGCTTCTTAAATCCTGGCGGAACCATCAATGCTGAATCATACTGTAACCAAATTAATACCATGCATCAGAAATTGGCAGTAATGAAGCCCTCTTTGGTCAATCGGAAAGGGCCCATTTTGTTGCATGACAACGCTCGACCACATGTGTCACGTGTAACGTCACAAAAATTATTGGAGCTTGGCTATGAAACTTTGCCTCACCCACCCTACTCTCCGGACCTCTCGCCTACTGACTACCATTTTTTTAGACACCTGGACCACTACTTACAACACATAATATTCAAAAATCAAACGGAACTGGAAAATGCATTTATTGACTTTATCAATTCTAAAAATTCTGAATTCTACTCAGACGGAATTAATAAGTTACCAACACGTTGGGAGAAATGTATTGAGAGTATGGGAAATTATTTTGATTAAAGAACATTGCTTTAAAGTAACTAGTTTCTTTTTTTTTGTTTAATACCAAAATCCTGCATTATTTTCCGGACAACCCAATAAAAAAATACGGATATTCGGTTTTTGTCTTTAAGATAATATATGCATAAACTAAAAATATTAAATAAAAATTAATAGATATATTTAATTATAGTTAATAATTAATTGTGTACCTTATATAATTGTCAATTTTTGGAGGTACTTCAAAAACCCCGGTGACGATAGTATCCGGTGGTTTGTCCTCGTCGTCTTCGTCTACTGAGTCTTCTTTCTTGGGCCGCTCAATGCGTAAAAATTTAGGCAGGACTTGTATAAAAACATGGTGAACCCACGGTTTCATTTTGTGTGTGACCGGCGATCGGAAATTAACGTTCAACACTACAATAGTAACTACAACGGAAAAAGTCACCAGCACCATTGTGAACAGTAAATATTTCCCCAATAGGGGCACAGTCAGTGATGTCGGTGGTATAATTTCTACGAGTAGTAAAAAGAACACAGTGAGTGAGAGGAGGATGGATATACACAACGACACTTTTTCACCGGAGTCCGACGGTAAATAAAACACTAGTATCGAAAGAAACGATATGCCGACGCACGGGATTATTAAATTTACAGTGTAAAAGAGCGTCTTTCTCCTCAGGGTTATGTTAAAGATTATATCTGGATAGGGCTCTTCGCAGCAACTGTAGAACTTTTCGTTTCTAACTGCAGGAACTTTCATTATATCCCATTCAACGGATAGATAATAGTCTTGAAGATCTATTCCCAGGTCTATCGTATCGGATTCCGGGGTTTGCGCCATGTGACGGAGATCAACCTGAAATTGAGAAAAACAGTTAATCGTTTAAGCCGGAAATTCAATAATTGTTTAAGTTGTATGCTGAAATTACAAGATATCCGTCGTAGGTCCATGATCCAAACTTCATGAAACACGTCTGTTCGTCGAAGGGGAAGTATTCGACGTTGATCTCACAGAACGACTTGTATATCGCCGGCGGCTTCCAAATCACTTTCCCTGTGTGATGGAGTATAGCTTTCGTCATTATCGTTACTTCATAATTCCCATCGGCGCTGGAAAATAAAACATAACTGTCAACTGGTGAATGAAAGAAAAGCGTGCTATACACCTTTCGCTGGTTATTCCGTGACCGGGACGTGAACGTGTCGCGCCTTGAAAGCGATGGATATTGCGACGTTCCTGGTCAAGGACCATGTCGCCCAAGCTAACAAGAATGGAAGTAACTACAATAGAACTCAGGTGTCGTTTAAGGAAGCTTTGAACATGCTTTAAGTAGTTAATTTACCGTTGCTTCTATACAAAATTACTAAAAAAATAAAAATTGCACAATCAAAGTTTAACCATAAAAGGAAGTTCTCGGACTTCTACTCAAGACATTGAGGATTCTGTTAAAAATAATATAGCTTAAATGGAACTCTCAAAAATGACTTTTGGTCTTGATCACAGAATGAATGTATTTAACTTCTCTAGTATCTAATTTCAAAAGGCACATTGTCTCTTCATCATCAAGTAATAAATGGCGTTCAACATAAAATAAATGGCGCACAAAAAGTGATGGAATCACTTGTTGAGTCTATCCAACAAGGGGTAGGGCTACGGACCTGTATTGCATTGTCTACCAGGTGTTCATCATCTTTACTGACATATTGTCAATTTACAATTATCGCATTTATACACTTTTGTTGTTGTAAGGATGGACTAGATTCAATATCGTCCAGGTTAGACGTGGCAATGCGCTACATAAGTTTCTACACCGGTGAACAAGTAAAATTGATCATAAAAGACAGGAGCAATCGTTTTCAGCAAGCGTAGGCCGTTGCTGTATGTAACTATGTCTTAGTCTGAGTCGATCAAATATCTTGGGATGATGTAAACTCACTTTTACTCCATATATTAATGGTATAGAGAACAAGGTCGAAGTGGCTATTCGCGTACTTTTCTCCTGCTATAGCGCCAGTCCAGTTTGTCGCCTACAACAGCTTATACTGTACAATCTCCTGTAATCCCTTCCTGGAGACTCACATGCACGACTAATGTCACAGGCTGCAGGTCGTACGAAACATTTTTCTGATATTTGCGACAGACTCGCCCCGATGGTCACGCATATCGGAGGTAAGCAATGCGCCATCATGGTCATGGTTCTAGATATATCAGAGATGTAATTTTTTAAGCAATGCGAAGCTAATACCCGCATAATCTGCTGCCAAATAGGGAATTATTGTTTAACGATTTCCTAAGAACGATGTCCATGATAGCTGTGGTTTTTAATCTAATATTTTTCCCCTAACAAATAAATAATGTCTTGTAATTAATAATAATTTAGTTATAACTTAACCAGCTGGAGGTAAGTGTCGCTAGACAGAAACTTAAAAACCCTTACTTTCACGCTAATAAATTTTATTCATTGCAGTAAATTAATGTAAACCAAACGAATCATGGAACAATCGTGGAAGTCTGGGCAATTCACTCCCACAGAGTACTCCTCGAGGCGGAGTCTAACTCCATTCACGCTAATAAATTACTTTTACCCTCCAGACGTAACACACTCACCCTAGAGACCAACCTCGAGGCATGGTTAAATAACCACTTCCTATCACGATAATTACATTTTTATATACATTCATTTCAATAAATTAATATAAACACAATACAAACACTATGTTCATTAAAAAAAATCCCTGAAGACCTGAGGTACCGTAAGTACGAGGTACCCGTCGCCGTGTCCCAAGATTACTCACAGGTCCGACAATATATCAAAATATTGCCTCGATCTACAATTGAAAATGTGCTCGTCAGTTATTTTATTAAACTAGATTAAAATTTAAATTACAATTTATTCTCTCACTAAATGATTTTCCGTTTTTTCGGTCTAGTTTCTTTCAAACTATTACAATTAAATACTTTTTATCAAAATTCATGAATTTTTGATATCCTTTAATTTGTTTTACATAAGAAAATATTGTAATTAATATAACGAAAAAAATACATGTTGTTTGAAATAAAAAAACAAAATACGAGTGTCCAGCTTTTTTATCTTTGAGTATGTAATAACTTTGAGATACATGCACAAAAATGAAACAAAACAGCATATTTTGAAAAAAATTGCTTAAATTACCTATTTTTTGCTTTCTCGGCTCGTAGGACCTACTGCCACTGACACGTGTGTAGTGTCTTTCAAACTAGTATTACCAAAAATGTTTAATTAAAATAGGAAATCTACTTCCGTAGACTCTCCTTGTAATTATCTTTATTGTTAATTATATGCCTGTCTCATTATCACCTCAGTTCAATCAACTCTGCCGAAAAAATATCCGGTTCTCACGAAATTCTCCTCATATTAAACCATTAATGGATAAAACATTTAAGCTGCTGATATAGTTCGAGAAATTATTAAAATGGGTCCTTGATCAGAACAAAGCGCGTTTTGATTTTGTGGATCCTTGAGAAAGTAGAAGTGCGACCATCAAAGGAGTTTAATGAGGTTCTACAGGAAGCTGTAGGATCAAATCCTGTCTCAAGTACACGCGCCTGGAGGTGAATAAGTATACTCATCCGTAAACTAATGCCTCAGCTATCCTCTGAGAGCGTAGAAACTTGTATTTATCCTTTAAAAACCCCACGATTTTAGATATCACGAAAGAATTGCCATATATGATGAAAAGTCGTTTATTAGACGAATCCTGAAATCAATAGCCAACGGGAAGATACTGTGAAACAGGGTTTTCAGTTGATACACGGGAGTAGAGTGATTGTTTTGTACTGGTTTTTCGTAATATTTTCCCAACTGATCATTAACGAAACCAGATAGGGTTTTTTTAAAATTTAATAAGTCGGCTAATGTTAAAAGTTCGGTAAACGCTTTTAATCACGCTTTTAAGACGTTCTATGATTGGAACCGTCAAGGTGAACTTTTAAGAGGCGAAGTTTTTCCATCCGTTCAATTCAATACGCACGTTTAATTATTAAACTGAAAATTTACTAACTAGGTGAATTAATCCAGTGGTCAATCAATGGAAAAACGGAAGCATGACTGAAAACGTCGGTAAATGTTATCATCTTACATTTCATGAAGTTTATAGCATTGCAAAATTTGGAAAACCCAGACATCCTACAGGAGTGTAAAGTTTAAAACTAATATTTTTAAAATATAGTTTATATATAGTTTTTAATAATAGTTATTAAACTAACTCACAATTTGGTTATATTTACAAGTTTAAACATTTGTGTGTAATGACTGGAGTTTAGTGACCATTAATTAATGATTATTTGGAGATCGTGAAAAGCGGTCTGGTGTGACGTAGGTTTTAGAAAAACATTTTCTTTATCGTGCCAACGTTTCGATCTTTATTGAGATCATATTCAAGGCCTTGTGTTGTCTGCATTTCAACAAAAAAGTTCTCTGATTGATAGTCGATGCAAGTTTCTTCTCATAGTCTTTTAGACATTGCCAACAATGAACAAAAACTTTCATCGGCTATCAATCGGAGAACTTTTTTGTTGAAAGGCAGACAACACAAAGCCCTGAAGATGATCTCAATAAAGATCGAAACGTTGGCACGATAAAGAAAACGTTTTTCTACAACCTACGTCGCATCAGACCGCTTCACGATCTCCAAAGAATCATTTGTGTGTAATATTACAAAAATTTGGAACAATTCAATGAAAAATGGAATAATTGAGTCAATGTTAATCAATATAACAAATTACGGAACCCGTTTTTATGTTGGAAAGGCAGGAAAACACCACAGTCGTAACACTGTTAAAATATGAAATCTTAGCCATAGCGAGCCCTCGCATATGGTAGTCTTTATTTTATGAAAACTGACACGGTTGTTTTAACTTGCTGTAACTTATGATTTGTACCGTTTCTCACCCATGTTTTTTTTTCGACTTTTTGCATGTGAGAATTATTTCCCTTGCAATAAATTTCCATTTTTCTAAGGTAATTTACTCGTTTGTTGAAGTCAAAGTTGATTGTCTGCTCCACCCTCGGTCAAGCAGTATATAATATTCTACTCCACTTATTCCAGTGGAAAGAATAAATAACATTAAAGTGGCTCTTAATATTTTATCGTATAAAAAATAAGTATTAAATGTTTATTTATTTTCATACAAAATATATTTAAAAAACAATTATAATTTAGACTCATAAGGGAAGGCTACTGACCACCGATTTTAGGTCGAAAAAGATTAGACTCGAGTCCCAGGGTACAATTTTCATAAAAATTAAAGTCTTTTCTAAAATATTCGTTAAACTGTCTAAAGAATGAGTCATCTACCGAGCTGTTTCAATCAAGCTGATAGTCGTTTGTTTCGGCAGCACAATTCCAAAATATTAAACATTGTAGGATCTTCGAAGTATTTTAAAAAATTCACTAATTTCGTGGTCCGCTTGACCAATTAATTAAGGTTTTTAGTTGAGATAAAAAAGTCAATGGCACGAGCGGGATTCGAACCCACAATCTTCGGCTAGATACGCCGCTGCTCTACCCTTGAGCTATCGTGACCTCGATCCACTCGGACACTAACTTAACTTGAAAAATGGCAAAAAGGAGGGGTTGAGATGGGAAATTAGTGTCCGAGTGGATCGAGGTCACGATAGCTCAAGTGGTAGAGCAGCGGCGTATCAAGCCGAAGATCGTGGGTTCGAATCCCGCTCGTGCCATTGACTTTTTTATCTCAACTAAAAACCTTAATTAATTGTATTTTAAAAATTGATTACGCCGTGAGGAAACTTCCTAGAGATTGGAAAATTTTACAAAAATTGCGACATTTAATAAGATTTTGAATGGTATGCTTGGTAGGATCGGTACATTTTTTCATATGTACATTTATGTTATGTCTCTTGTAGGAGTATTGTACATAATATTGATATCCCCCAAAAAAGTTTACCATGGGAAAGTTATGATTTTTAAGAGAAAAGGAAGGTTTAATTAGTACAGATAACAGTAATTTTTACTACATGAAAAACACAGCTAAAAATGTAAATAATTAAATCTACTAAATTAGTTTGGTTCATTCTTACTAATCTTATTAATCTCGGTACTATACTAGCCCTTAGTTGTCTCAACCTGTCTACCAGGTTTCCTAATCTCTTTCACTGTCACATTAAAAATTTACGATGCTTACATATTTACTGCAGCTGTATTTATATTATACATTCAACACTTTTGTTGTAGACGACCGGGTTAGTGGACCAAACGTTTTTTGGTTATTCTACTTTCTAACATATCGGACATATACGCCACTTCTTGTTAATAGGTCCAGGTTTCGCCAAAAACAAAATGTTGAAGTCGAAATTTTCCCTGTTTTAATATTTTTATTTCACCTTGCTCGAACCAACTATGTAGGTATATCATTTTATAGCAGTTTTTTATGTAGATTTCAATAAAAATATAGTAAAAGCTATGAAAGTTTATCAACAACCTAAAGCATTTCTAAAAACCAAAGTTTTTCAAGGAAACTATGCCAGTTTGTGAAATTAATTTGAAATTTCGTTTTAACAATTCTAGAGACCCCTGAATATAATTTTTGGTTGAATTTAAATTTATTAATTTTTAGATCCCTAAATCTCTCCGATCGGAATGTGTGACTAAACGGCTATAATTCGAAAATGGTTAACAGCATTTAAAAAAAGAGTAACGTAGATTTTTACCTATGCGTGTACCATTACAACACTTGAAAAAAATTTATTTTATTTTTTAATTATTTATTTAGGTCATGAATGTGTGCCTTGCGGAACACCAGGACAAATTTGAACCTTATTCGACAAAAAACCATCAAAGTTGACCCGAAAAGAAAAAAAGAATCCAACTCAAAAACGGCTCACCAACACCGGCCATACGCAACTTATGAACCACTAAAAAGTGTTCCACTGAGGCAAAAAGTTTCCATAAATCCGTTTAAACGGAATGAACTTCATGATCCCTTTCGAACGAAGTGAGTATTAAATCCTTACACAGATTGGTAGATTGGAATTTGACAAATCCATGCTCATTCAAAGATAGAACAATCCTAAAAGTATCAAATGTATCAAAACTTTAGCAAAAATAAAATCCTACTATAACACTAGGGTATTTGCTAATAGGCCTATAATTAAAAAAATTCAAACAGACCCTTTTTTTATGCGCTGGGATAATGTAAGAGCATAGAAATGATAAATGATGGAGTGAGTGTGGTGTTCAATCCTTTTGAAAAGATAGTTCCTACTCACAGTAAGTTTGGGAAGTCCTGTCACTTACTGTAAGTAGGAACTATTTTTTAAAAAGGATGTGAGAGCATTTCCATCTATTAGAAAAAGTCCTTTGGTACGTCCAAACATCGAAGCAATAGGTATACAGTGATTGACTACATCTACTCAAAACTCCGAGAAATTATCTGGTCCAGAATTTCATAAAATATGGACTATTAATAAAATATTTCTATAAGAAAATACACAAAATAAAAAAAATGATCCGGAATTTAACCTCGTTTTATTTTTATTATTTTTTTAAATGGAGGCAATAGTCTGATTTTAATGATTGTACTGTTAAAGGCACATGATAAATTTGTTTTAAATTAATAATCAACCATGAAAATAGGTCCACTAGCTTTTGATGAAAATCATGTTAGAGTTGGTACTAATTATGATGCTAGGATCATGAAAATGGCAATAAGCACTGACATGTTTAAGTATTTTCGAACCAGAATCAATAAAACAAATTTAATTAAAATCGGTAATCCCTTCCAAAGCCTCCCTTGTATTAAAATGTACTATTTCTTGTAAATCGTTATTCATTAATTATTTAATTAATTCTTCATTTACTTTATATAATAATACGTTAACTTCAATATAATTAGACATTTATCCGTTACTTGCTTCTGATTACTTCTCAACTTGTGAGTCACGAATAAGTTCTGAAAGTGTTGATTATCCCAGCATATGAAAATTACGGAATTTCATGAGACTCAAGTGAAACAACGATTTTAAAAACAACACCTTCCCTATTTATAGCGTCGAAACAATAAAACTAAAACGTTCCTTTATTACAGGTTCCCACCATATTTTGCAGGATAGGGGTTAACATCCAATTATTCTTCGAAAGTGGTCTCTTAATGTAAATCCATAATTGGCCACCACTATTTCTGTAGTGTGACTAGAAGTGCAAAAAAATATAATTGTAAAAAAAGGGGCAAAAAAATATGACTATTATATTAATCCATACATGTTTAACGGTCATAATTGACCATATTAATTATTTCAATTAATTATTCGTTCTATCTAAGGTCTTAGTTGAGCGGAAATGATGATTATGACTATTTTTACAAGTAATACAACTAAATTAGTGAACGTCTGTGTTACATGCGATATAACATAACTTTGGAAAAAAAATGCTGCTACACATCATATCATATTTATTGTTGGATCTAAAAATTGAAAAATATGCTATATTTGTATCAACAATTACGTTAATATTTAACAAATTATGAATACAATTTAATCGAACAAATTTCAGTTATGACGTTAATTGTATAGAAGCCGAATGAAAAAAAGCGACTCATTATCAAAAATTTCAAAATCAAATTTAAATTATTGAGCAATTGATTTGAAAGTAAGAAGAGTTTTTTTAATGCACTTTACTAAATTCCGCAATGTGAATTATTGTACTGTGAAATTTAAATTTTTATATTATCCATTAGATCGGAAAAAATACATAAATATACATTTAGGAAATGTAACAGAAAAAAAATGTAACGCAGCTTGATTTTCATAGACGTATATTAATTAAATTCAATTACGTGTTTCTTAAATCGTGAATTAAAACCACAATTGGTATGTTGAATGAATATGTAATATAACATTTGTTTTAATAATTATTACATGGATATCAATTATTAGGAATATGTATTATTCATTACTAGTGCTGTTGACTTTTTGTTTCCAAAAAGAAATACATATTTCTTTTTAATTAGATTTTAAACTTAATGTGATACCATGTTATCGGCAATCTTTGGACAGGATGATTTTCTTTCTATTACTCAAAATGATTCTGAGAAGTGGAAAATCTGGAAAGATTCTTAAGCCTTTAAGCAGTATTTTATATGAAGTGAGAGAGTAAATGGAAATAGAGGAGATAAGGCAGTTTCAATGGTCCACATGAAGTTTGGGGTGACTGATAACTAAGCAAGTTATTTCTTTAAATAAAAACAATCACACAAATTTATCAAGTATCTCATACGGCTGGAAATCCAAGATTTGATTATTTTAACCGACCTCTGAGTGAAAAACTAAAAAAGATACGTCAATTTTTTCATTAAAGAGAAATGAAATGAAAATCAACCTTATTCTGGGAATTTACAGCCCCTTTGAATAATTATTTTCGAATACAGCATATTTACAGATGTGTGGTGATTAGTGACCGTTAATCGATATTTATTTAGAAATCGTGAGATGCGGTCTGGCGTGATGTAGGTATCAGAAAAACATTTTTTTTATCGTGCCAACGTTTCGATCTTTATTGAGATCATCTTCAGGGCCTGGGATTTACAAACATTGTTTACATATAACAGTTACATTTTGGATGTGGAAAAACAAAATAGCAAAATCTCACTGGCACTCTCGACACGACACGCAAGAATGGCACAATTACACAGAACAAAAACACTTTGAGTGAGTAGAAATACTTTGATTGAATATATAAAAATATATATATATATATTTTGCATTGTATAAATTCACTTTTCCACATCCAAAATGTAACTGTTATAAATAAACAATGTTTGTAAATCCCAGGCTGTGAAGATGGTCTCAATAAAGATCGAAACGTTGGCACGATGAAGAAAATGTTTTTCTGAAACTTGCATCACACCAGACCGCATCTCACGATTTCTCAATAAATATTTACAGATATTCTAACTTGATACAAATTTGTCCGTTTATTATAATATAAAATGAAAATACTCCTCTCCAGAAAATAAAGAAAAACTGACAAATAAAAATCTTTGGTGATACGTTGTAAGGATAAGAGGTAATCAAAGAGAAGGGATTTAAAAATCAGTCCTATTATGTATTAACCTACTTTTTTTTCAAATTCCATATTAGAATGTTTCCATTTTTTATGATTTTCGATGTTTAAAAATTGAGTCACTCATGTAGGATTATTTTCCTCCTATTTTATGCATAAATAAAAGCTGCTTTTTGTTTTACAAGCTTTACCATAAAACTGATCTATTTTATTCAATTCCAAAGACACTGAAATGTAATTCAGTTGAAAGTTCAAAAAAATAAGTTGGTAAAAAATTCTTCAAGTTTTAGCAGTCACATAGATTCCTAAGTAACTTTTGGTAGTAAACCTTTAAATATAAGAGCTTTAGAATAGTTCATAAATCAGACTCACTTATTGTACAGAACGATATCTGGGAGCCATATGTGTTCAGAAGGTACATGAAGCGTGTCTACTCCTCCGTAGTCGTCAGGATTCCATTTAAGTTTGTAGTCGTTCCATTCCTGAAACCCAAAGGAAATATTAAGTTATAAATTTTCAACGTTAGTTATTAATTACAGGAGTTTATTAATATGTTTTAACAACATTATGCAGTTTTAACTGTCGATCTGAGCATACAACGTGGAAAGGTAAACCTACAAAAACAGTTGCATATTCTTATTTTATTGAAATAGTTCCATTTGTAACGATATAAGTTTATAATTTAGTTGTATTTTTTCGTATGGCATATGAAGCATATGGTTTTCAAAATAATTAGCAGTGAGGTAACGTAGTTTAGGAATTAATTTTCGCCTTTAAGTTTAATTGCAAAATTATAAATCAATCACTCGTCATTGGCTGTATTCCTTCGTTTGTAATTTACTTCCAGTTCCTAAATGGAATATCTGTTGCTCTCAATTTCTCCAATAAATGAGGCCAATTCTTTGGCTAAAAACTAATCTGGAGGTATAAAATGATGTTGAAGTATTTGGGAAGTTAGTAATTAGAAAATAGCTTTATTTACGCGCGCGCGTGCGTGTGTGTAATTGGGTTACAGATAGGTTGAGAAAATAAACATTTTAACTTTGTAAAGGAGGATTTTATTAATATAATTAAAAGAATTGAAACAAAATCCTCATTATAGGTCACCTGCAAATCATTGTCTTTACTACGTTTTGAACGAATAACTACTAAAACCTTCCGTGGAGGTCATCAATTAAAACAACTGCTGGTTTGTATAAACACTGAAAAAACATTAACAAAGGGAAAGCGCTGTACGTGTCCCTACACCATCCCTTGACGTATTAAATAATAATTTATGGCATAATCAGCGCACAAATATTGTTGTTTGTGGGAAAAATTATTAAAAAACCCATTTGTTTGGAAATGCACTCACAATGCAGATATAAATAAGAATTATAAATATGTACATATAAATATGATCAAACAATTATAAATACATAAATATTATATTTAGCAAATAAAAAAGTTCATGTGCGGATTTGAGCCAATAGAAATCCAATCCAAATCCAAAATTAATATAAAACAATATTAAATAGTACCTAAAGTATTAACTAAACTTAAATAAATAATAAACTGATCAGCCACAAAATCAAGGTTTTGTAAGCTATTTTGGCTGGCTTGATCTGTCTCATTTATTTCGCAACATGCTCCGATTTAATGTGTTTTTGGATGATTTTACACCCCTCTAAAATTGTGAAGCTGCCCCTAGTACTTCTGCCCCTACCTTTGTGGCCTTCGTGATTTCATGCGAACAATCATTTTTACTTATCTGTATAACATGGAGTTAAAAAAAAAAAAATTGGAGTTTTTTAAATATTTAATTAGCACGTGTGCCATCAACGACATGCGTATAGTAAAACGGTTTGTCGGTTGAAAATCATGAGTTTATTCTGTATGTTTATGGAAGATTCTTTTTTTAAAAATGATAACAGGATTCTAACAGCTGCTTTGCCTTTGTATAATTGTAAAATTCTGGATGAAGTTTAGATTGGAATACAGTTTGGCACCCAGGAAGGTTATAGTTTTGGACTAGTCAAAAGCTATATCCACAACTGATACTTTATGGAACATTAATTAACTTGCTAGCTATCGCACTGACTCTCTATAATAATATTAGAGCGCAATGTCACCATTTAGCGCTAGATGGCAGAGTTTGGGTTTCGTTAAAGCCTTTAGAAAGATAGAAAACAGAGTCGGACGCAATAAGGAGCCCTGTTGGATACTCCTGCTATAACGAATGTGTCCGGGATTGATTTTTTCATCGCAACACCTCTTTTGTAGGTAAGAACTGACTAGATAAATTAGGAAAAACTGTACTCAATCATTCGGCAAACAATCCCATTTTGCCAAACCTTGTCGAACTTCTTTTCTAGGTCCGGAAAACCTGTTGTGTTGTTTATGGTGAAAACCTTCTGTGATCTTTCTAATATGAGAGCCAATTGAGCTATTGCTTAACCCAGGGCGGAAACCAAATAGTTCTTCCATTATTAAGTCGTTATGGAAAATTCAATTTTTTTAAGTATTATCTTTTCCAATATCTTACTCTGAGAGCTCAGCTTAACTGGTCTGTGACTTAAAGGGATTTAATGAGGCATATATTTTTAAATTAGTTTCGAAAACAGCACTCAGGAAAATACCGTACGAATAGCCTGACATTGAAAAATAGGCAAGAAGGACCACAGCTTTTCTAGGAAGATAATTAACCATTAGTTCGTGGTTGAGCCCAGGTGGTGTTTAATTTTTATGGGGTCGGATGATGTTAAGAATTCCTTTTGGAGTAATCATGTGGGTGGAAACTAGTCGATAGACCTACCGATTTTTCAGTGAACATATTTAAAATGCTCTCTCATTGCGTTTAGTAGCTCATCTTCAGTGATGCGTGGCTTGTTTTAGAATTGAAATTTATGCAATATAATTAAGCTTATGCCATTATTAAGTTTATGCTTTATTTTTATGTGTGGTGTTTAGTGACCGTTAGTCAATGATTATTCGGAAATCGTGAGCTGCTGTCTAGTGTGCCTTATGTTTTAGAACAACATTTTCTTTATCGTGCCAACGTTTCGATCTTTATTGAGATCATCATCAGGGTCTGGGATTTATAAACATTGTTTAAATATTACAAATACATGTAGGATGTGAAAAAATGAATTTATACAATGCTAGAAATTTTAGATTTAAAAAACCTACGTCACACCAGAACGCATCTCAGGATCTCCGAAGAATTATTTATTTTTATGTTTAAGACATTTAACTGTTTTCCAGAGAAAGCCAATTTGGAGATCTACTTAGGGTAGAGATTTCGTCCAGCGGTCGTTTCTCCATTTTTCAATATGTTTGCGTAATTTGAACTGCAACCGATTTGTTTTTAAGTACAGGATGCTAGGTTTTAGGATAATCCTGTGAGTTTTTTTCATGAACAAGATTAACCAGTTCTAACGGGAACCGTTCTTTGTTAATCGACTGGCATGTTGTGAAGCTTTTTCGTTAGGTCTGTTAGATTTTCTATTTATTAATAGTTACTGCTGGCTCGGGGAGGATGGGTTCACTAATGAAACAATTTGTCAAGGCATTACCAGTAAATTAACAGTGCTTGCAATACCTTACAAATATATTCTGTTTAATATCAAATGAGATCGTAGACCAGGAATTTTCCTAGTTCCACAGAGTCGCTGATGAATGACTCAAAGTTTGAAGCAGCAATGCAACAACAGCGTGAATGAGAATCAAGTCATTAAATGAGTTTTTGAGTAACAATAAATATCCCAAATACTACCAAATTGTGAAAAATGTATTAGACTTTTTTCAATAACATGGGATGCTTCATGAGAGTGAAAATGCACTTCCTACTCTCACATATGCAACATTTTCTTAAACACTCCAGTGAAGAACATGGTAATGATTCCAAGAGGACATCAAAACGGTGTAGTAAAAGTTTCAAAGATGGAACGTTAACATTATGGCGGTGCATTTCTGGAATCCCAAGAGGTAATGCCGCAGTGTAAAATATGTAAATCTCCGTCTTCGATTAGCTAGTTTACCAATTATTTGTTGTGTACTATACTTACTAAATAATTATTCAGAAATCGTGGGATGCGGTCTGGTGTGATGTAGGTTTCAGAAAAACATTTTCTTTATCGTGCCAACGTTTCAATCTTTATTGAAATCATCTTCAGGGCTTAAAATGTTTGTTTTCCGTGTAGATGTGTCATTCTTGCGAGTCGTGTTGAGAGTGCCCCCACGACAGAAGACAGACACTTTGGGCCCTGAAGATGATCTCAATAAAGATCGAAATGTTGGCACGATAAAGAAAATGTTTTTCTGAAACCTACATCACACCAGATCGCATCTCACGATTTCTGAATAGTTATCGATTAACGGTCACTAATCACCACACATTACTAAATAATTGTACTTAGTTTTTCACCGTCTTCAGAGTTCAGAATCTGATGAAAGAAACTATTTAGATAAAGGAAGTAATAAGCATACTTGATTACTCAGAGGAAGTATGCCCTACTCAAGTTCAGTATATCCTACAGGGTTCCAGCCCGCTGGGAGCACGGGAGAATCAAGCATCTGTTATCGGAGGATTTTGACATAACATGACGTTTGATAATCTATTAACGAACTGAATTGATAGATATCCTTGTCACATGATTTTCTGTAACATATTTATTTATGTACATATTGCATTGTATATGTGGTATTGTGTATTATTTATTTACACCGAGTTTGGAATGAATGAATTAATGAATTTTAGAAATTATTATTTAAAAATCGGTTGATCTTGATGTGGAATGTAGTAAAATAATTATTTTTTGTTTTTGTTTGTCTTTCCACCATTTAAAACGCTCTCTCTCTCTCTCTCTTCTCTCTCCCTTTCTCTCTCTCTTCTCTCTCCCTTTCTCTCTCTCTCTCTCTCTCTCCCTCTCATTCACTCTCTCTTTCTCTCTCAATATGCGCTTCACATGGATTCATTATAATATGTTAGTTTGTCCAAATGTATATATTTTTTTTAGTGTAAATATTTTTGTTGTGCTTCTGGTCGTTCATTTGTATGTAAATGTTTTTTGTTTCATTATGTGTTCATTTATTAGTGTTTTGCTTACATTTGCTTGTTCGTCAGTTTGGGATTGTACATTTTTTGTTCAAACTTTTTTGCTTGTTTTATGTACTTATTTTCAGGTGTCGTTTACTGATTTTGTTGGTTTGTTTGTGTATGAGTAAGTTATGACAGTGTGCTTTAGGAATGTTTACTTCAACTATCTATACAACACCACAGTAATTATAAACGTCAATCTCAGTAATAAACTATGTAAGTACGGGAAGTAGTTCCTGTCATAAAAGGAGGCGTATGAACTACCAACTAAACCAACCAAAACTACCAGTTAGGATACGGGGACGAGAAGACAGAACGGTTTTACAATACTTTTTCCAAGTTATGTTTATTTGAAATTTTATGAGCTATACCACGATTCGAACCGAGAATTGCTAGCGAGGAGGA